CATCTCTATCAAGACAAGAATACAATTTTCACTTCATTTAACTGATGTTAGGCCAGTTCAAGGCATGACATTTGAAAACGACACAAGCTTAAGGTTTCTAAAATACTGTACTTCAAATACATGGAAGGCAGATTGTTTGAGGGCATGATTTTGTCCATCTGTTAAAAAAAATGTTGTTTGCACACACCTTCGGATCCAAAGAGAAACCTGTCAAACGTCCTGATAGGAATCAGAAATGTGAGCAGGCTAACCATCGTCACCCAATGGCAGGTGGTGGATCTAGACTCTCCAAGTCAAGTATTTAGGGCGATACACGTGAGATGACTCTAAACCAGGGACATAACTGCACGGAGAGGAACACGATGAAGAAAATATTTTTGTGATGTACTTCATCCCTGCTGGTAACAGTGAATCACCCTGGTGGTCTAACTGGGATTGAAAGGGATGTCTGCCCATCATCAGCACCGAGCTATATGCATTGTTTCCTATCTGATGCAAGCTGTGTTACAAACAGCAGCTGCAATGTGACTTCATAGCTTTTTGTTTATATTGTGGAGTTCATGTCCAGAGAGTGAGCAATAAAGAAAGGCCTCTGCTACCATGGGCAGAAACACCTGCCAGGTATCAAAAGGTGATCATTTGTCAAAAAGGACCATTGTGCCTCACAGTGTCCTGTGAACTTATCCGCTAAACAAAAATAGTTCAACTTTTTTTTCACGTGAAAACTGCTACATTCAAGATTGCCGATTCCCTACAGCTTGCCACAACGTTCGCGTTTAATGCAATGGCTTTGCCGGTAGACACAACATCCTTTAATATGTTCCATTTAAATAATAGTGGTATTCGATTTCAATTTCTGAAGCTAGTTAGAGCTTTTCACAAGAACAGTTTTATAACATTTAGTTTTTTGTTACACATAACATGGGAAAATACTATGGTTTAGAAAATCCCAAAAAAATTTGAACATGAAAAATGTGTATCTTTACTGCTTTTAATGGTTTATACTGGCTCTATTTTTTTTAATAAATGGAGCTAAATAAACACTTTCAAAAAACAAAAATGTGTTCTATAGCAGCAGTCCAGACAAAATATGGTGTCTAAATGATTTATTTTCCCATTTATGCCTAAAATGCCCATTAGAACATTTTGAATGGTTGTACTAATGGTCTAAAATAAAAACAAAATACAAAAAAGGTCTATCGGTTTACAGAGGGAAAGAGATGATTATTTGCACACGTAATGAGTTTTTACAGAAATCCAGTGGAGATTTTTGTATGAATTCGAAACGCTTATTCCTTCAAGCAATGAATTTTATAAACAGTGTCAATGCAACTAGTGTACACAATTCTTTCTGTCACAACATACACACGGAATATGCTGGAGGCTGATTGGGCTTGTAATTGTGTGGCCCTATCAAAACACTGAGCACATTTTAAAAGCCTTTAAATGCTACTATTATGAATTATAAAAAATAAATAAGAAAGAAAGTAAAAAAAATAAAAAAAATAAAAAATACTGTATTTCTGGGTTCTCCTATTTGGCCTCTACTTGGCTGTATTGGGTACTGTGAATGACAGCCTCTCTGCTTGAAACACATTGAAACCACAGCCTTCCTCATTCACTCACAGTACTATGGCCCTTTCACACGTTCCCCCACAGCAGTGTTTGTCCCCAAACACTAGAAGTCGGCACAATAACATTCCAGATTCCACCCCCCCCCCTCCCAACCGACAGCACAACTACAGAACGAGAATGCTAATTAGAACTATTTTTCCCTATCATTCAATGTGTTAAGTGCATTAACATTGCAACATGTAGGCTTATTTTCACTGTTACTGCTGTATTGTATCACCACATACAGATCAGTGACCCGTTCTTGTAATAATTCCTTCTTCGGAATTATGGAGCCACAGACCGCTATAATGCCTCCTATTAGTAGGTGTAGATGTGGTTGTTCCCTATACTCAAGGAATCGCAAATAAAGGGGGCATTTTACACTGCTGTGATTTTAGGTTATGTTAGTATACAATCAGGAGGTTTGGGGTTCATCAGCTTTTGTAAGACAACCACTCACATCACTCCCATGTACCCTGAGATGCAAATAAACAAAAAAAGGTAATGATATAATATGCCCTGAATTAAATTCAGTGATTTAGAAAATTAAGCCATGTAGAATCGAGACATGGATGATTTCATAATAAATGGGCCGTTAGTGCCAAAACACATTTTTGCAAATAGGCAAATTGTATTTAAAATGTTTGCAAAACATATTGGCCTCTATTTAATGAGCTTTAACGTCTATACTGTTCCAAGTGATTTATCTACAAAAATTCTCATTGATTGTAATTGCGACTTCTGCAGATAAATCATTTGGAAAATGTTCTAACAGTACTGAATCATTTGGAAAGCTTATTAAATGGAAGACATTATTTGATTATCTGCTACAGCTCTAGTGTAAATTATAGTATTTGGTTTTCCTTAAACACAGAAGTCAAAATCAGCCAAACTTACCCAGGGATTGTTCAATAATAAACACTGGTTTATAAAGACAACTACACATACTGGAATACTGACTTACATCATTCTTGATAATTGTATCAGAGCATTTTTGTTGGGAGTGGGGAGTATACAAGGATGTGGGAGACAGTGTAATTTTTCAGAATACATTGTGCCTCTCCTTGTCCTGTACACATGACATCATCAGCTTCTCCTTCCAGGCTCAAGCCTTGATTGGTGAAGACAAGCATGAGGGAAGATCACCATCCCCAACCAATTAGGAATCAAGTGCACAATGCGCATGCATGTTGGCCATTTATAGATTTTGTTATAAAGCTGTTGTACAGTAACCTAAATTATGAATGGCATTCAAATCGTACAATTGGCTTCATTAGAGATAGGGGGTAGTTATGATGAATGTTAATCTTAAAATAAATAAACACATAAAGGAGGCCTGTGAATAGTGGAAAATTAATATAAATCTTTTAGTAAATATATTTGTATTTCAATATGCTCTAAATTTTTTGGCTGCCAGATTACCACCTCTATAGTTACGAAATGAACATCTAAGCCTTGGCAATCGAGATACGTTTCCAAAGCATTACAGAGCAAGCAAAGGGTTAAAGCATATTTTTATTGTTGCGATTGCAGATTCCAAGGATTCACTAAAGACTAAACAATTTAACAGCCTGGCATTGTTCCCCATTCTGCTACAGATTTCTATAGACGATTTACTAAAAGTATCAGGGGCATCAGAGATTTTGAAGATGATGTTTTGGGAGTTTAAGGGTTATAAACGCGGCCAATGCCAGAGACATGGGTAGCTCAGGGTATTAAAAGGAAAACAAGAGATACACACCCAAATTAAAAGCAATTAAAATGTAATTTTCATTCATTAAAAATACAATATGAAGGTTTTAAATTATATCCTGATATTACTGCGATAACACATTTTGCATGTGTAATTCGGCACCGAAGAATCATGCTTTTTAAAATTCGGTTTGCAGTCATCCTATTCTAACAAAGATTAGGCTAACAAAATGCATTATAAACACAGATAAATATGGTTCATCATCATGTGAACATTTTATAATGTGCAATGGATGAATGTAGCATTATTTTTTGTATTTTTGACTCTAGCTCCCATTATTCCAAGCAAGCCGATGATGTTTTAGGAGCAGTGATGGCAAATGTCTAGAATACCATTTGTGATGGACTATTTCCCAAGATGCTCAGCTAGCCAAGAAAAGTGGTTATGAATTATGGGGGTGGGGGATCACGAAAGTAGAGCAAACGTTAGCCATCTTGCTTTAGAGTGTTGGGAGTTGAAGTTAACTAATGTAGTTTTGTTATTTTGGCAGAGACTATAAAGATCAGTTTCTTAGTATAGGTAAATCCTACTTTAAGAAAGTGAAGTATCAAACTGTGTAGAAGTGGATTTTCTTGAGGAGGTAGGTCTCTAGACTGGGCTACATGGGCGACAGCACAAGCTAGTTAATACATCCACCATCATACCCCCCCTCCTTCATTAATGCACGTCTCCCCACAATCCATCTCACTGGAAGATCTTTTATTTTCTAACGTCCGTTAAACTTTTATAAATTTCTCTATGACTGTAATATTTCCTCTCTCTTTAACATCCTGTTAGCTATCTTTAAAGATCATTTATAACTGAGTAATAAATTATACTGCCCATTAGATTTTTTGTTGTGAATTTAGAATTAACATGTTTTTTTTAAAAGCCGTATAAGACAATAAAGTTTTAATTAATGGCAAAAGTTCTACATCAAATAATTACACCTATTTTAAAAATCTCTTTGTCAATGTATTCATCACTTCGTGAGCTAGTGGATCACTAAAAGCGAGGTACTGAAGTGCCAAGATTGTATGCAATTGTCAAATACACCGAATATCATAAAATGAGCATCATATTTTTGTTTTTCTAATAATTTGATTATAGGATAATTATATTATATATAGGTGGTAAAAATATATTTCTATAAAATGATCATTTAAAGTATTCCTACTCTGCTAAACCAACATAGTGTTGTTATATAATGAATATCTTTCTTGTTAAAAATTAAAATGTATATGCCTATATAGGATTTCTCTATAGTGGCTTGTGCACAGTAGTGCATTCTTCCTAAATGGAATGGAAGGTACAACAGTTGGTGTCTGAAATTTAAATTGATACGAGCTTGTCATTTAAATTGCTACGGCAAAAGAACACATCTTCAAATCGATCCTATGACTACAAAACAATGTCACCAGTCAGAAGATTATTGTGGGAACTTCCTAAACATCACAATGGAAACAGTCTGCCATTTTGGCAGAGGACCAAACATTGATGGCAGAGTGCTCTTTGAGAATGGGGTATATAAAGATTTCTACAGTAAATGAGATACTGAGCACTTTCAGACACATAAGTGCAGGATACTTTGCGTCAAAAAGTGTTGGGACAGCGCCTCGGCACTCACACGGTTAAGAACATGAAGCCCCAGAGTCTAGCATCTTTCCTGCACGCAAGTCTCGAATGGCCGAGTAGGTGGCGCTGTTGGTTTAAGCACGCTCTGAGCACAATTCAAAAAAATATTTTTTTCTAAAATGTATCTAGAGTGCCCATCATCAAATCAGTGATCTCCAAAAGCCCTGTACAAAGGGACAAATTAACCCTGTAAGTGACTGATCAGTGAGCAAGTAATTTGCCTTATTTCTGCATATATTTTTTAGGAGTTTTTGTTTGGCTCTTGCAGTGTCTCTTTAAGGAGTATTCAGACCATTGGCAATAAAGAGAAGAAAAATGGGTAATCAATGAAGTGGTGTTCCCAAAGATCACATTATTTTTATTTATTTTTTTACACGTGAAACCTGTTATTTTGGATGGCTTAATTCAAATAAATAAAATAATAGATAGAATAAATAAATAAGATAGACAGGTAATACAGATAAGATAAATGAGCTAAGAGCCAGGGAGAGCCACCTGTTCTTTATGTAAAATATTTTGCACTCGATTCTGGCAAAGATTTATGCCTACAGCGAAAATACATTCTGCCAAAGGTGAAAATTAAATACTCATAGTATATCTGTATTGTGAAATCAAGGTTTTAATGATTGACAGCATGGGGAAATATAAATCCATTTTATAAATGGAAAAAAAAAACACAAAAAATTGAATGGGTGGGACAGAGAGATTGATTAGGCAGACAGATAGGGAGAGAAAGATAGATAGATATATATTAGATAGATAGATAGATAGATAGATAGATAGATTATATTAGATAGAGGGAGAGATAGATTCCTGTGTTTATGTACACAATAATTCCTGATCCTTTTCCTGATGATTTATTAAAAGATACACATGAATCAGTCTCAATTCTGCAGCGTGTGCATTAGGAAAACTGACATTATGACATCCCAACACCACACTACAAGACAATATACCATTAGCTCTATTATTACAGCTTAGCTGTGAGTACAGAAAAGGTATCTATGCATCTATGGGTAGTACTCACAGTGTATAGATGTCACACCTCTTTATGACATTTTGCCAATCATTGCCTTGATACAAGTAGAGGGGGTAAAAAAAACAATAGGAAATTGTTTGATAACTCACCTGGTTGTCATAGCTCTTTGCAGATTTCAGTCGATGACACAGGGCCGTTAAAACTCCTTGAATATAGATCTTAACTCCTGTAGGGCTGAAACCTTCTCCTTTAGTGACCCACACAGGTCCCTTTAAAGGCGTGATGGAGTTTTGTAAGCACTTGTCAAGCAGTGGAACTGTAGAGAACAAACAAAATCAAATAAAAAATACTTTCTTTTGACCCAACCGAATTCCAGTGTTCAAATTGCAATCAAAAGGTGACTTTAATGCCGATTATTTATTTGTGACCTGGGTTAAGTCTTTGGAAAGCAAGTAATGCCAGGATTTCTGACCACAATCAAGGAAGCATTTATATTGATATACCCCCTGTGCAAGGCTCCTAAGCTGTGTGAACACACCTGAACAGTTCTGAAGAGTGCTTAACTAGCTGCACAGTGTCATGTTGTGAACTGATTGCCTTATCTTCTCATTTATCACAGATGAGTTGGAACAAACCTTGCTGAAATTTACTTGCATTGTCCTGATAAGATTATAAGGCGTCTGTTGCCTGTGAACAAAATACAATAATGCCCCCCACAGCCCCCCCCCGCCCCCCCATCAAAGATTTGGAAAGTGCAATTCTTCAGATTTGAGAAATTGAATGTTATAGTTTTTTTGTTGCCCCTTTTTTTATCGTAGCCTGAAATTTTAAATATGTGAAAAAGTCTGCTAACACTGAGATTCTGCAAGTTAATTATCCTTTGTATTTGTTTGGGCGCATATTTTAACAACCGTGGGTCAAAAACTGAAAATAATCTCAATGTTTAGTACAGGAGCTGGCAAGATAAAACTTGATGGATAGTTTTCCTTTTCTATAGTTAGTGTTTATTAATTAACTTATTCAAAAAGTACATATTATGTTAATAGTACAGCTGGTAATGGTTTTATTATATTTACAGCGTCACCTTGAATTTTTGGTTAATTAAAAATGGGTTTCATTTAATATTAAGCTAATTCCAAGTAATTCCAAAATGAGCAACGTCTTGAAAATTATGTGAGCACATTTTTTATGTTGATGATGCCTACGTTTTTCACTAAATATATTTTTGAACATGTTACATCATGCTCGGCCACAGAACTTTTTTTCTGTTTCAGACTGATCGATCGAGTAGTCGTTCTATTGATGAACCAATCGGAAAATGCCGAGTTTGTATTCAAAACTAATCTAACATCTGCTGTGTATTTCTGTTTACATGCTACATGTCAAGTCTTATTGTCCCTTAGGTGCTTACAAGAGATGCTTTAGCAGTCATTTTCTTAAATACTGATGCCTATCTGAATTTGGATTTTTCCACCATTGAACAGAATGACATGCACACGATTGCTGTACTTAAAGCAATCTTTCACAGCTGTTTTGCTTTTCCAGTGATCCCATTAAATTGACGGCATATGCCTGTGGGGTCTACAATTTTACAAGGCTTTTGAACAAGAGGTTGATTTGCACAATAACATGCAATCTAACATTAAATGATTTTATTGAAGAAATTATTTTGTGGTTTTCCCCTGCTGGTGCGCAAGAAAAAAAAAAAAGACAATTTCAAATCTGAACTTTTTCGAAACACCTGTGTGTTTAATTGTTTGAATTGGAGTGCGGTCTGACAATCAAAACGACAAGGAGGGGACAACATCATGTTAAGACCCCTCAGTTTCTTAAATACAGCATGACTCATGTCTTCCCTCAAACTAAACAAAGTAACTGAGCATTAAATATGCTGGCAGATCTTCTGCTTGAGCAAGTGAACCAAAATGGTGTGAATTGTTAATGTTGTGCTTCTTTGGTTCTCTGCTTGCGATTGATCATTTGTAACTATATCTACCCCTTGTTCCATGAAATCAAGTTTGCGGTAATGGGTTCATCAGATTTTTGGGTTAAATTGAGAGTGAAGAGGTACTGTGTGTAGAAATAAGAGTTGCCATGTTCAGGGCTGGCCTTGAATCAGCATGGATTCTGAAGGCAATATTCAAAACCACTTCACTCATCATACGCTTACTGACTCTGAATGGAGTCCAGTTGCAGGGAACATTTGGGCATATTCCAATACTCTTTAAGTCTGTTACACTTTCCCCAATGAGCCCATCTCTTTCGAGTTAACAGGCGAGTATAACAGGTCAATGTATAGAACTATGTTAATTAAATATCTTGTTGTCTGAAATGGCATGATACTTGAAAAAGAGAGGGTTTTTTGTGTTTCTCTTTTTTTTCTTCTTTTTTTGTGAAACAGAGTGAATTGTTGCTATGGAAATAATTCACATTCACAAAAAATGCTGTTGAGAACCATATCTTTTTTTCCCCCCCAAGAAAAATAATTATAAAACCAGTCTTTTTTGTTTTGTTTTGTTTATTGCTAAATCCGGTGGAAAAATGGCATTTAGTGACCCTTATATGTTTTTTGCAGTGTTGTGTTTGATACTTTAGAGATTTTCTCTAAAGACGAGGATCTTGAGAACAAAGGGTGAGAAGTGTTGTTATATTCTTGTGTTAAGCGACTAAAATAGTTTTTGAAGGGATCACCCCAAGCAGAGAAATTGCAGTGTAATTCTGTTTAATGTGGTGTAAATGAGAAACAGTTCCTCAAACACGAGAGAAGACCGTAAGCAGACTTTTGTTGTGGTGAATAAATAAGAAACAAAAATAGTCACACGTACAACAGCCTGCTCTAATGTCTCATCGCACTAGTACGAAAATGCATCACACCCAAATATAACCTAAACATAGGACCAGAACTAGAAGTTAATTTCATAGTATAGAAAAATAAAAAGATGTTTAACAATGTACCTTAAAGTATAATTACTCAGTTAATTTGCTGTTATTAATGGTTCACTTACACATGCGATTAACGGTTTACTTATGCAAAAAAAATTCAAATGCCCGATTATCAGTGAACATAAGACTTGAGAAATGTATATTATTTCTACAAAAAACATGTGCATGGGTGTGTAATAGGAATTCATTTGAACTTCAGAAAACTGTAGTTTTCATTTCAGATTTACGCATTGTTTATATTACATTGTAAATTCTTTTTTAAAGCAATTAAATAATAATTATATCACCTTGAGTTAGATCACTAGACGAGACGGAGGAGTGGACAAAGACTCGATTTTTACTATCTTCAAGCTTTCATTTTTTTTTTAGCACTTCAAATCGAATAAGAATATTACATTTCAATACTGTATTCTAAATTTATTGAAAATTAGTATTAGTGGAATTTACGCCATATATTTTCTAAGATGAATAATAAAAACGTTCACAAAATCAAAAATACACATTAATGCACAAAAAAACAGATTTACATTATAAAGCATATTGCTTCATTTGCTATTTACACACAATATATATATATATCCAAATTGATATTCCAAGACATATATTTTTTATTCATATCTGGAATTTTGCTGTTAAAAGGAAAATCATATAGTGTTATATTTAATGAATGATTGTGGTTATAGTAATAAATTATTTATAAATAACCCACCTATTTTGCACAGTGGATGGATACAGTTGGTGACATTACAAGGTACATCGATTTGGCGTGCCTGGTCCTGTCGTTTTTTGATGTATAAGGACAAACACGATCAGTGGCAGTTACGAACGTGTGAATTGTTGGGAATTCAAAGTGAGTTTTAAATTTTAGGCCAAAATAATTTAACTTGGAATAACAATGAAAGTCCTTCAGTTATTTGGGCATATCAAGACAGAGACAAGCCTATTGCAAAAAAATGATCTGTGCTATACTCTTTAAATATCTTCAAATGTATCAGTATCTTGCGCTCACTCCCATCACTGGGCGGCAGCAATGACTACAGTACATGTCAGCCCCAATATATAGTAAAAACCAAAAAAAAACAAGTTACCTGCGCTCTCTCCTTAATCCCTATGTATTTTTAAACAAATGGAGGTTTTTTAGTTACCTCCAATGGCCATGAGAGAATGAGCCCACCTGCCAACGTCAAGGCAGACCCCACCAGGTGGGTCCTAACTAACCATTCACCTTGCTTCATCGAGCCTCTGGCAAAAATCTCTAATGAGACAGAAAGGGGTAATTTTATATACACCTCTATATATTATTAACCCTTAATAGGGAACACATGGGGTGGGTGGCTGCATTGTAACAAGGTTGAGTGATACAAAAAATGGATTAAAATGCAGAAAGATAAGTCCTGCGCTCACTCCCATCACTGGGCGGCAGCAATGACTACAGTACACATCAGCCCCAATATATAGTAAAAACCAAAGAAAAACAAGTTACCTGCGCTCTCTCCTTAATCCCTATGCATTTTTAAACAAATGGTGTGGTCCATGCTGTGGACTAGATTACTGGTGAGGACGGGTACGCACTAAGTCACATGGAAAAATAAAACCCTCTTAACCTATTCATCTTTCTCAATTACTCCACACACCTTATGTAGGTCCCACATCAAATTTAACCTTCTCCTCGAACCCACGATTAAGGCCTGGAAATAGTTTAGTCTATGCACTGGTCTTCAATGGCAGTTTTCACCCTTTATGCCTTTCTTACACAAAGATTAGCCAACACAGTGGTAAGGGGAGGGATTCAGTAGACCAATGATTGTTTAAATTCATTCCTTGCTTCCATGTAAGGCTCTCAAGGACAACCATCCTCATCTCATTTTACTAATATTCCAACTAAACACTATTGATCACACTCCATGCGAACATCAAACCTCACTTAGATTTTAACCCTTTAGATATTGTGTCCTGGCAGGTGGTTTACCCATTTCTCTGACTTTATACTTAACAGTCTAATAGCAGCATGGTCCTCAACTCTAAAACTGCTGGCTGCATTGTCCAAATAACAAGATATGCATTTTAAGCTTTATCATCTCGCTTACGTAGCTCTAGATCAACAATATTGTTTCAAATTGAGATCCTTATTTATTTGTTTGAAATGCAAGTGATAGGAGACAGACCTGTATCACGGTCTCTTGTCCTGTGGACACATTTAGCGATTATGGAGGGCTATTCAAACATGTGCTAAACTGTCTCTGCATATTCTATTACCTCTCTCCAGAATTGCCTATATTTGGGAATTTTTTCCACCTCACCTTGTCATAACTCTAAATATGTAGCTTGAAATTTTAACAAAGCAATTAGTATTTTTTTTAATGGGGGCATAAGCAGAGGTAAGGACTTAATTGGATGAAATATGGAAAATTTACTCTGGCATCATGGTGTACCTGGGAAGTCTGACACACCTATTATGTATTCTTATGATAATGAAAATGTTTCTAAGAGCATACACACGCAATAAACTGTTACCATGATAGATGGTGTTTCATTCATGAAAACCGTGGCTAATAGGTTATGGAAGCTAGTTAATCAGGTAGTTTTACTATTTCAAGTGGCATGGTACACACCTTTCTAAAGTATTTCTCAAAATGGCTGGACAGTGATAGGCTGAAAACATTAGCTCACCCTTGAACCTGGTACCAGAAGGAAAGGTACAAAGCTGAGAGGAAAGATACCATGAACAGCACTTTAAGGTTACGCAGTTTGAAACAGTTGAATCCTATAATGTAACATGGAATCTAGGACCTCCAGACACCATAAGATAAAGTCACTAGTGTATTTTTAAGTTGAAAACAATTTTTTTATAAATGTTAATTGATCAATATAATTGCAGTTTTTTTTCAAATATAGTTTATATTGATAGATTTTAAAATAACATGCAATAGAACAAATCATGCACACAATCTGAGCTGACCTTTTGGGAGGAAGAGAGTGGATTCCAATAAAACCCCAAAAATCATACAAAAATACAAACAACAGAAGGAAGCGGACGGATCGCACGAGGGAGCGCACAGCGGGAGGGAGGGGGAAATAATCTTCCCAATGCTGGCGCTCAGCCAGCAAGGGAGACGTTTATTTGAGGACAGATTTAAAATTTGCACAGAATTGACATTAGGCAATGCGCAGAACTGACACTAGGCAGTCCTCAGAACTGACGTTAGGCAGTCCGCAGAACCGACGTTAGGCAGTCCGCAGAACCGACGTCAGGGAGTCCGCAGAACCGACCTTAGGCAGTCCGCAGAACCGACCTTAGGCAGTCCGCAGAATTGACGTTAGGCAGTCCGCAGAATTGACGTTAGGCAGTCTGTAGAATTGACTTTAGGCAGTCCGTAGAATTGACATTAGGCAGTCTGCAGGATTGACATTAGGCAGTCCGTAGAATTGACATTAGGCAGTCCGCAGAATTGACATTAAGCGGGTAGTAGATTTGACATTATGCAGTCCGGAGAATTGACATTAGGCAGTCTGCAGGATTGACATTAGGCAGTCCGCAGAATTGACATTAGGCGGGTAGTAGATTTGACATTAGGCAGTCCGGAGAATTGACATTAGGCAGTCCGTAGAATGTGCCGAGGGTGTAAAAAGCCTCCAGCAAACAAGTGCAAATAACTCTGAATGTGCAGTGTTTCAAGAACTGTTTCAAGCACTACACAACCAGACTCCTAGCACCTCCTACCACTAATTTAATAATTCACAACAAATCTATAACAAAAGGTACACAGTAGGCACTAGAACAGCTTCATCTCATTGAAGTGGTTATAGTGTCTGAAGTCCTCTAGCGCAGTCCTTCCATTACACTGTTTTTAATATTTTAATGCTAAACAAGCCACTTATGAGGTAAAGCAGTCCATCTCTCACACACACACTTAATTAAAGTGACACTGTAGGCACTATAACTGCTTCATGTTAAACAAGAGTGCACAGCAGCCCCATCCCCCCTGTGCTGATTGATCTAATGAGGAAGCATTAGCCTGAGCAGAAATGGGTGGCTGTGATTGGCTAGAGTTTAAGCTGAACATATTCATCCTATCCCGTGCTATTGCAGCTAAGAAGCCATATGGCTAAAAAGAAATAATATCTGCATTAGCAACACCTCCAGTTACAGCGGGGTTATTTGAAGCCGGGGACCATCATTAATTTTTAAACTGATTGAAAGAGGTTTAACACTGAATGGAGGGACAGTGCCAGGGGACTCCAGGCACTATAACCACTTCAATAAAATGAAATGTCCATTGAGATGTGTAGCGCAACTGCCACCTATGGTGAAATTATAAGATTATAAAGTCTCTGTTGTTAATGATTGTTGCTAGTTAAAACCTCCGGCTGTACAGGAAATATGATATGCTGTAGATCTGTGCTGTACAGCAGATTTGTCGACCTTATTAAGAGGAGATTATCTTAAGTTAGCATTCTGGGTGCTTGTCAAAAAAACACATTTATTTTACTGAAAGCTTGACAGTGCTGTACAATAGCTAAAAAGGGGGAGCTTATGGGATATTGATTTGAGAATGTTTCACTATGAGAAAGTATATTGACTTTCAACATCACAGTAAAAGAATATTCAATATAATTATCTTGCTGCAATTACAACTGTGGAACACACATATTCATTATACAATGATCAAATGCATTATCCGCTCAGCTGATGATCCAGATGAAATTCTGTATCTTAGGGTCATGCACATCAAATGTAGTGCTGTGGCAATGTTTTAAAACTGTTGTACAAGTCTGTCACCATAATGTACATGTACATAATACCTATATTGCACGGCTAATTACACAACATAACTGTTACCTAAGTAAATTATCTTTGAAAACATTCGAGACTGCTGAGCGTTTTTAGACCATTATATACCCATCTCGTAAAAACAATCTATCTTCCACTGCGAATGTGTGCACGTGCTTAGTGCTTTATTCAGTGAAAGAACTGTTCGGGTACTCTCCAATGATGAGTTAAGGAATTCTCCTGCACTAAACATTTAAAGCACCATACTGACTTCATCTTGTTAAAATGGTTAGGGTGCCTGCCTCTGCCCCATAGTTCAGAGTTAAACCATTCTCAAAAATGTTTCCTTTAAATTAATTGTATTGGTGAAAGGAGGGAGTATAATGAGGCAGGTAAAGAAAAACATGCAGTCACAATATCAGTAAAATACAAGACACAAACATACAAAATAAAAGTCCTGCACTCAAACTCCCACTACTCCAGGGCGGCAGCAATGAATAAATATACATGAGCCCCAATATATACAATAAATAACAAAGAATAGAGTTACTTGCGCACTATCCCAAATCCCTATGAATATTTAAATAACTGGAGGTTTTTTAGTATAACTTCAATGGCCATTAAAGTGTAAGCTCACCTGCCACATCAAGGCAAAACCTCTTAGGTGAGTCTCACATTAACAATTCATCTTGGTGCTTGCAGCCAAATAGTAAAATCTCTCATACAGGACACAATTAAGAAAACGTCAAAAGGAATTACACATACAAATAGAAATAAAATCACAGCGTCAAAATAGAACAGTTTAAAAGTAAAATGCTAGGAAAATCAAGCTAAGTTGACCACGGTTGTCATTTTTTGAATAAAACATTCTACCCCAGTCCGTGGCCTGGACAGTAAATAGAGAGAGCATTGCCAGATGGGATGGCAGGCAGTAGAGAGAGAGGGGAAGGGGGGGTGGGGGGGGGGCATCCAGAAGCCATCAACAGACTAAAAAAGCCCAGGAATAAATAATAAGAGGAACATTACAAGGCCAAAGAGTTGGGAAGGAGGTGTTAGCAGGGCTAGTCAGCACCTAATCGATGCTGTCAGCCTATCACTACTACCCATCCCTGGTCTGTCTAATATGGAAGCATTAGCCCAAGCAGTAGTGAGGGACCAGGGACCCTCATGAATGATAGCAAAACCTTGGACTTGGTTTCTGAGGAAAATCAAGGCGCAGGGATGAATCTGGTGAAGGAGTGACATGAAAAGTATTTGAGAATCAAGCATCGGGCTTTTCGGTAGATAGGCAGGGAGGAGGAGTGGGTGAGGGTGGAGAGGGGAATGTGTAACATTTGGTGGTAGCGTAAAACATTTACTATACACATATAAAATGTATGAAATAATTACAAGAGATATACTAGCAGTTTTAAAATGCTGTAGGATAATTATCTAAGAAAAATACACACAAAACAACCTGAGTTTTCAGGGTTAGACGGAATATGACACTAGGGGGGACTTAGGGGTAGAAAGACCAGATATGGGGGGATAAAATTACTCAGCAACATAAACGTAAGTGCCACTAATTATTCGTATCCCTAGTCCTACTGTAAGATACTTTACTGTACCTCACACTATTAACTATAGATAAAGCAGTGTAACTCTCTATTTAATGGTTCTTGTTAAAATAAACAGAACTGTTGCACTATTTCCTGTGTAGCAACATTGTAGCGTCACTATAACACACTTTTTTAAAGTGGATATTTTGATGTTAAAGAGACACTATAGTCACCAGAACAACTACAGCTTAATGTATTTGTTCTGGTGAGTATAATAGCTCACTTCAGGCATTTTCATGTAAACACTGCCTTTTCAGAAAAAAGGCAATGTTTACATTGCCCCTAGGGACACCTCCAAATGGTCACTCCTCAGATGGCCAATGGAGATACTTCCTGGCTCAGCCCTGCCGTTCGGTGTCCCCACCCTCTGCATGGAGACGCTGAATTTTCCTCATAGAGATGCACTGATTCAACGCATCTCTATGAGGAGGTCCTGATTGGCCAAGACAGCATTTGGCCCGTCCCCATGACGATTTTTGCCAAGCCAGTGGCTCATTGGCTAAAAATCAGCCATTTCAATGATGTCACAAAGGGGGTGGAGTCTGGAAATAAGGTGAGTTTTATACTTTTATAGGGAGGTTAAGGGGGGGGAGAGGGGAAGGCAAGCCACCTATATGGTGGGTTTAGCACTATAGGGTCAGGAATACATGTTTGTATTCCAAAACTTGATCTTTCATAACATTATTAGAAAATAAATGTTAATGTATCATCACCGCCATCATGCCAAGACCATAGGTTTTACCCTTCTACAGGACTGGGGAATAGTTGTTGTATATGTCCTGCCCGTTCATTTGCAATTAAAGGATCACTATAGTGTCAGGAAATCATAGCGGTTTTCCTGACACTATAGTGCCCTGAGGGTGCCCCCACCCTCAGGGCCTCCCTCCCGTTGCGCTGAAGGGGTTAAAAACCCTTCAGCCACTTACCTTATTCCAGCGCCGGGCTCCCTTGGTGCTGGTGACCTCTCCTCCCCCGCCGACGTCAGCTCCCCCGTCCGACGTCAGCGGATCCGAATGCGCATGCGCAGCAAGTGTCGCGCGCACATTCAAAGTGTCCATAGGAAACCATATCTCAATGCTTTCCTATGGACGATCTGCGCGATGGAGGCATAATATTTCTCCAGCGTCACAGATGCACCTCTAGTTATCCCACAAGAATAAAACAGGACATGGTAACTGATGGCAATATCAGTGTCATTAGACTAAATCCGTTGGTAGAAAAAAAAAAGCACGGCCTTTTAAAGTTAATAAGTATTTTGGGGGGATTAATGTATTTTTTAGTACTGAAGACATTTTTATTTGTAGGTGGCCCAAGATCTGGTTCAAGTAAAGAGTGTTTAAAGGGTTTAGTAATCCTCTCCAGCCTTGTGTCTTATTGAACGTTTGATGCATGACATACAAAAATAAATCAGTTCCTTACTGTTTTTTAGATCTTCAATTTTCTCTCCATTACAGTCGAAGATCCCTTTTGCAGAAGACCCAAGGTTCAGTTTTGAAGTACATAAATCTAAAAACTGAAATAAATGGCACAGAATCAGCTATGTACGTGGTGGAGGTGATATGCAAACATCTCTGGTTAATGAAAGAGATATAAACACAGTGACAGAGGTCAGTTAAAGAAAGAAAAATCGAGGAGCTGAACAAAGAATCAAGTAAAAAAAAAAAAAAAAAGTTATAATGCAATCTTTTTATTTTTCCTATTTACAGATTCCATAGCTCTTTTTTACTATTTGTAAGTAATTTTCTGTCTGAAAACAATATGGTTTATATAGGATTGCCTGTTCATTTAAAAATGGATGTTCAGGCATACATTAAGAAATGAATAATAGAAATTAACACAATTTTAATTTTCAATCAAGGGTTCATTCCTCAGAGTAACATTGCAGAGTTCTGAAATGTCATTGTAGAAGAGGAAATGTCATCTTGTCTCATTAAGTATTTTCGAGAACAGTTTAACCCCATAAGGTGAGCCAGTGCCACGGACCTACTGGCACCATATCAACTTAATTTCGCTGAAGTTGTTGTGGTGCCCAGAGTGTTTCCTTAAAGGCTGGTTTGTTAGGAGATATCATTATGTCATTGATCCGTAAACTGTTTAGTAATAAGAGTGCACATCAGTCTGATGGGAGAATAGCTTTTTAAAACAATGAGTCTTTCAATAATAGATAGCTGAACATCAATACATGAGTCTTCTTGTATCGGATCTAAAACTAACATATACCGGATATATCAGATCAGTAAAAATAAGCACGTTAAAACAAAGTAAAATCTACAAGCTTCACAATGTAGGTGCTCAGTAGTCAAATGTATTGGTGCTTGCATGATACAACAACAACAAAACATCCTTTATTTTAAAGCTATTGTGAGGGAGTACAGATCCCTCTTTCACAGAGCCCCTGCTGGGATGCTGATGATCCAAGACCAGCTATTAAAGTGCCACATCACCCTATGTATTGTAAGCACTCCTAGCACTAAAGGTTCTGTCCAACGCTCCTCCTTTGTAGACGGCCTCTAGAGCCCCTACAAAGCGGAGCTGGATCTGGGGGTCTCATAATGGGGAGGGTGGTGGGGAGCTCCCCTATGTGTCTGGGTTAGAGGACTTGGGCCTAGAGTGTCATCTTGGTTGCAAACTTAGTTTATTGGCAGACAGACAGACAGACAAAGTTCTAACAGACTTACAGTTACACACACAGTATGTAAACTCCTATGTATTCATTATAACTAATAGCACAATGTCAATCAAACACACAAAGCAGGGGAACACTCTTTGTAAATGAATCACGTAATATAATCAATCAACGTAGTGCACAAATCAATCAGTGTAGAATAGCGTAGTGATATTGTATTATATTTGTGTACCACGTTTAGTATTTCATAGCATCTCCGAAATCTCCGAATGATGTGTTGGATATAGATATATCTCCTTAGATACAGCTCTTCCATTTTCATTTATTCAGTGAAGCAATAAAGTAGAATAGACAAGTACTCCTACACACTGAGTTCTGTGTAACCATAGATGGGTTATACACTAAACAAGTGCTATCTGTACGCAACATCATTAAATTACTATATATATATATATCGAAAGAGTGTGCCAACACGCGCTCTCTCTCTATAGATATAAAGAAAGATGGACGAAATAAAAGAAACACCTAAGGACCTAATAATCAGTACTAAGGCCACCCGTCGCCCCCCATGTAACTTGCAACAGCTTTGGTGTTCCTGGGATGCTGACACAGAAATTCTGAACTAAGTGTAGTCAGTTAAAGCACCTTTCTTTAAGAATGATGAAGCAAAATGAACTGATGGTTGGGGAGGCGATGGATGGCATTAGATTTCATGAGAACTGTTAGGAATTCAAGGTGAATTTCATATACTGTATAAGGCCAAACTAGACTAACTACTTTGCTTGAAGATATTTTACTAAAATGGCTATTTTGGCCTGAATGTAGAAATCCCTTCTGGTGTTTTACAGCATCTACCTATGTACTACATCTTCAGAAATTTTAGAGAAACTGTATCATGCACACTGCAACCCTGTTAGATTTTATTAAACGCCCAAGAGCACAGACATCATTAACCTTTTTAATGATAAAAATCCACATTTCGAATGGCTGTCTTTACAATGACCTTCTTTTTAAGAAAACTGGCTTTTCTTTTAAGTAATGGATTCAATCCGATTAGACCAATAACAGCCATGGACTGCCACATTTCACCTTCTTTGTGGTATTTAGTATACAGTACATATAGTTTATATTTGGAGTGTGGGAATATTTTTCTTGTTACAGATGGCATGCAGTATAACAGATATATAGGCTTTATATGCTATAAGCATTATGTATATTGTATAGTCCTATCATGGTATTTGTTCTAATGATTAACAACAGATGACAGGTACAAAAATGTAAGAAATACATCATGTTATCTATTATACTAGAAAACATTTGTGGCACGTATTCGTTGACATTGCATTCCTAACGACACGGTGACAGTAAATTACTGAAATAACTAGAAAACTATTTCTCCCCAGACTTAATGTCAGTTTTGTGGCTGTCATTGCCTCTGGGTTCTGAGTGTGACGTTCAGCCGCTCAGCTATGCCATGTTAAAGATGTAAATTTAATAAAGACAAACTGCTTGCCACCATTACAGAATTAAAAAATCTAGCAAATGAAATATATTACCATCACCACGCCGCACTTTTTACTAATCGTGTGCGTTATATTGGCCAATTGGCCACAATTGGTTGTGCATCATGGGAACTGTAGTCAACAAGAGGACCGAAGATGAATTGTGAGTGCTTCAGGGAAATAATGATGATTCCTCCCAGTAGGGTTTATTCACAAAACACAGAGTTGTAACAAACTAAAAAAACAAATAGCAAAATTTAAACCAAAAGACCGAAGTTGTGACTATAGAAGAGGTGAGAAATGATTCAAAAATTAGCATTATTTAACATGGAGCAATTCAGTTAACAGTTCACCGCTGTTCGGTGTATATATGACTCTGTCCTCTCTTGGTTTTCCTCCTATCTCTCCCAACGCTCATTCAGTGTCTCCTTTTTTTCCAAGGATACCTCCTCCCCTCGTCCTGTCTCGGTTGGAGTTCCCCAAGGGTCTGTCCTTGGTCCCCTTCTATTTACTCTTTATACTGCCTCTCTTGGTATACTTATTGCCTCTTTTGGATTCCACTACCACCTGTACGCTGATAAAACTCAGATATACCTCTCCTCCCCAGACCTCTCCCCTGCCGTCCTGCAACGTGTCACTGCTTGCCTTTCTTCCATCTCTGACTGGATGTCCTCACGCTTTCTGAAACTTAACCTCTCTAAAACTGAACTCCTTGTCTTTCCTCCTCCTAATACTGATCCTCCTCTCTCGCTCTCCCTTCAAGTCAGTGATATCCACATAAGTCCATCCCTGCAAGCGCGCTGTCTTGGCGTCATATTTGACTCTGGTCTCACCTTTGAGTCTCACATCCAGTTTGTTGCCAAGTCCTGTAGGCTCCAACTCAAAAACATAGCCCGCATTCGCCCCTTTCTTAAGCAAGATGCTACCAAGGAGCTTGTCCATGCTCTAGTAATTTCCCGCATGGATTACTGTAACCCTCTCCTGATTGGTCTCCCCAAAAGCCGTATTGCCCCGCTACAGTCTGTAATGAATGCTGCAGCTAGACTGATTTTCCTCTCTAGTCGGTCCTCTCACACCTCACCACTCTGCCAGTCCTTACATTGGCTCCCTGTATGCTATAGGAGTCAATTCAAAGTGCTAACCCATACATTTAAAGCACTGAACAATTCTAGCCCCACTTATATCTCTTCACTGATCCATAGATATGCCCCTTCTCGTACCCTCCGCTCTGCCCGTGACCACCTCCTGACCGCTGCTCGCACCCGTACGGCCAACTCACGCTTGCAGGACCTCTCGCAGGCGGCTCCTCTCCTATGGAATAGCTTGCCTACTGCCATCAGACTCTCCCCTAGTCTTCAATCATTTAAGAAGGGCCTTAAAACCCATCTCTTCAGGAAAGCTTATGGCCTCCCAGAGTAATCTCTACCTTACATACCTGTCTCCTGCTCTCTCCTATGGGACAGTGCTTTGCTCTCTCCTCCAGCTCTGCTTCACTCCTACTTGATATTTCTTGTCCTAATGTTTCAAATACCCCACCTCCTATAGTCTGTAAGCTCGTTTGAGCAGGGTCCTCTTCAACCTATTGTTCCTGTAAGTTTTCTTGTAATTGTCCTATTTATTGTTACATCCCCCCTCTCAAAATATTGTAAAGTGCTACGGAATCTGTTGGCGCTATATAAATGGCAATAATAATAATAATAATAATAATAATATACTGAATAAACCGACGCTTGAAGCTGTAGTTACCAAGATTTGTATCCAGTTTGGAATGTGGTATGTGTTTTGCTGAACATTAAAGCTTTAACATTAACCTGTCACTTATAAAAGCTTGGTTAATATGATCCACGTCTGGATTAGTAAGTTAGCGGAATCTATGCACTGAAAGACCTGCGTGTATAGGTTAGCGCTGTAACGGCTTCATCTCACAGAAGTCATTATAGTATGTGGAGTCTTATCCTTTTGTTCTGTGCTAAAACCAACTACTTGTGTATTTTTTACACAATGTATATTTAACCACATTTTCTTTGTCATTGTAACATACCTGGGCGTGCTTGTTCTTTACTTGTTCTTTACTATATGTGTGTATGTGTTTGTGTATATCTGTATATATATATAAATATGTGTGTGTGTGTGTGTATGTGCTTATCAATACATACATAGTTATCTCTAACTTACTCACAATACTGGCACTCACTGAGACCTGGCTGTCCCCCTCTGAACTAATCTCGCAGAAACCTCAACTGCCTTGATCTCCAGCATTTCTCCACCAAACTCAAAACTCTCCTTTTACCCATCTCAAATCTAACTTGCCCTAACTCTGCAACCTCACTCTACAACTCAACTCTCTCCTCTCAACTAGACATCATGGCACCTCCTACAATTAAATGCAGCAAGCGCCCCCAATTACTACCCTGGCACACCAAGCTGACCTGTTACCTCCAAAAATGTGGTAGAACTGCTGAACGCTGCTGGAAAAAGTCTAACTTTGCATCTGACTTCCTCCAATATAAATGTATGCTGCGCTCCTACAGCCTGGCTCTTTCCGCTGCAAAAGTAAATTACTTTAACACCCTCATAAGTACACTATCCCATCAACCAAAACACCTATTTCACACTTTTAAATGCTCTTTTCTGCCCTTTTACTCCCCCTCCTTCTACCACCTTGTCCGCCACAAACATTGCATCTGACTTCACTGAAAAGATCTCTACAATCAGAGAAGAGATCGCTAATTTATCTCCTTCCCCTACCAATACATCACCCAACCCCATTCCCTCCACCATTCTACACTCATTCGCACCTGCTACAACAGAAGAAGTTTCTGCTCTGCTCCGATCCTCCCGCCCCACCACCTGTTCTCTCGATCCTATTCCTTCATATCTCATCCGCACTTTGTCTCCCTCTCTTGCTCTTCCTCTCACTAAAATTTTCAATCTCTCCCTTTCCTCTGGCAAATTTTCCTCACCCTTCAAACATGCAACTGTAACCCAGATTCTGAAAAAGCCCAGCCTTGACCCCAACTCCCCATCCAACTACCGCTCTACATTGCTACTGCCATTTGCCTCCAAGATCCTCGAGAGTTGTGTACACGAGACTGACTGACTTTCTCGAAACCAACTCTCTGCTTGACCCCCTTCAGTCTGGATTCCGCGCTGGTCATCCTGTCGAAACGGCTGTGACCAAAGTATCCAGTGATTTAATTGTTGCTAAATCTCGTAGCCATTACTCTATCCTAACTCTCCTTGATCTTTCTGCTGCCTTTGACACTGTTGATCATCAACAGCTTCTTCACATTCTCCGTAATTTTGGTCTACGGGATACTGCTCTCTCCTGGTGCTCCTCCTACCTCTCCCAGCGCTCTTTCAGTGTTTCTTTCTCTGACTCTGCCTCTTCCCCCCAACCACTCTCTGTCGGCATCCCTCAAGGTTCTGTCCTCGGTCCCCTACTGTTCTCTAGCTACACTGCCTCCCTTGGTAAACTCATCAGCTGCTTCGGCTTCCGTTACCACTTCTATGCGGATGACACACAAATCTACCTGTCCTCTCCTGATCTCTCTCCGCCCATCTTGACTCGTGTCTCTGACTGCCTCTCTTCGATTTCCAAATGGATGGCTGCTCACTTCCTTAAACTCAACCTGTCCAAAACAGAACTTCTGGTCTTTCCTCCCTCAAGTGTTACTACTCCCGTGTCTGTCTCCCTCCATGTCAATGGTGCTACCATCACCTCTACCTCGCAGGCTCGCTACCTGGGTGTTCTTTTTGATTCCAACCTCTCCTTCACCCCTCATGTCCAATCAATCGCCAAATCCTGTCGCTTCCATTTCAAAAACATAGTGCGCATCCACCCCTATTTAACCCCAGATGCGGCTAAGGTGCTGTTCCATGCTCGTTCTCTCTCGCCTGCACTACTGCAATACTCTTCTCAATGGTCTTACGTGTTCGCAGATTGCACCGTTGCAATCCATAATGAATGCGGCGGCAACGCTCATTTTCCTGTTCGCTCGCACTTCCCACACCTCCCCGTCCTGTCAGTCCCTGCACTGGCTTCAAATTAGATATAGGGCTCGATTTAAAATTCTGGTGCTTGCTTACAAGTCCCTACATTATTATTATTATTATGGTATTTATATAGCGCCATCAAATTCCGCAGCGCTTTACAATGGGTGGACGAACAGACATGTAGTTGTAGCCAGACAAGTTGGACACACAGGAACAGAGGGGTTAAGGGCCCTGCTCAATGAGCTTACATACTAGAGGGAGTGGGGTAAAATGACACAAAAAGGTAAGGATAGTTTTAGACTAGTGACAGTTGCAGAAGAGGAATCAGTCAGGAGCTATTAACAGTTGAATTGATACGCTTTTAAGATGAAGTGGGTTTTTAATGATTTTTTAAAGGAGTGGAGACTGGGTGTGCATCTAACGGAGGAGGGAAGCGAGTTCCACAGGAACGGTGCAGCCTACATAATGCTGCTCCAACCTACCTATCCTCCCTAATACATAAGTATGTCCCGTCAAGGCCCCTACGCTCTGCCAAAGACCTACGTATATACTCTGTCCGTACTCCCACTTCTAATGCTCGACTCCAAGACTTTTCCAGGGCTGCACCTCTTTTGTGGAACTCCCTTCCCTTCTCCGTAAGAATTTCACCCAGTCTCCACTCATTCAAAAAAATCTTTGAAAGCATATCAATTAAACTGTTAGCGGATTTTTATCCCCCACCCTCCATGACTCCTCTCCTGCAACTGTCAAAAATTACCTACTAAGCCCTCAGTGAATACTTTTCTAACAACCTACTTTGTACCCCTACTTTTACCCTTTGTGTCACTATACCCCACTCCCTCTAGAATGTAAGCTTATTGAGCAGGGCCCTCCACCTCTCTGTTCCTGTACGTCCAGTTGTCTGGTTACAATTACATGTCTGTTTGTCCACCCATTTTACAGCGCTACGGAATCTCATGGCGCTATATAAATAATAAAATTAAAATAATAATAGCTTCATGCTAAAGAAGAAGTCACCAGCAGCCCATCCCCTCTGTACTGCTTAACCATTAGCCTGAACAGCAATGGACCACTTTCGGTCTAACACAGCCAACCATTGCTGGTATGAATTGGTATGACCAAGGAAGTATGTAGCTCTGCATGACGGTTTGGCTGACGGTGGCCAGGAACCCTGATTCAGTGCTAAACTTAGCAAAAATGCTCTAACATTGAATGGAGGGACGGCACCAGATGATTCCAGGCACTATAACTAATTCATTGCGATTAAAAGGGTTATATAGTGCCTACAGTGCCACTTTAAATAATATTGTTAATTAAAGCCTGCTTTTAGCACAGACGATGCATGTGTACATGACCATAATGTTGAAAATGGCAATTCACACCTTTGACTACATATGGACATGCCCACACCATAGCAGCCACCATAATTTAATATTAGTGCTACAACTTAAACCACTTAAAGGGATACTCTAAGTGCCAGAAGTGCCAGCTGTATTCCTGACACTATAGTGCTCTCTGCCTCATCCCTCAATGACTTTGTCTTATGTTTTAAAGAAAACTAGAGCAGACAGGACGGAAAGAAAAACTGACACCGAGAGAGGGAGAGAAGAAAAATCGATTGGGGAAAAGAAAGTTCGGCGTGACACTGCCGCTTTAATACTGCTCTGGAGGTTGGAGGGAGAGCAATTGTAAGACAATTTTAGTGAATGCAGTCCATGTATATAAGTGAACATGTAATCAGAAACAGACCAAAACGTGCTATGTACCCATGCTACAAACCTTTTCCATTTGATCCACCATTGCAACCGTCTCCAGTCCATTGTGCCCGCTTCCATTGGCAAACACCAGAATTCTCACGCTGGCATGTCCTACAAGGTTCTTGATGCGTTTTGACATAACCGGTTTTGTTTTGCCCCTTTTTTCATCATTAGGAAGTTTCAGACCGTTCATAGTCCACGTGATTTTACTGGCTAAGATTTCGCTGTCTGTAAAATAAAATTCATTAAAAATGTAAGATGCTTTTTTTTGTATGTAACCTTTTAATTCTCCAAACAGATATTGGCATTTTCACAAATACTCACACTAGCTTTCCACTAAGCATGACATAAGCTGTACCAAGCTGTCTCCTCTGATAGCCTGCATAAATCATCATTTTTGAAGGGAACAGATGTTCAGAGTATGAAACACTAATACAACAATTTAGTTATAATTAAAATTCACCTTAGCATGCCTTTATCAGTGATCAAAGATTCATTGAGCTTCTCATCATCATAAAAAAACATGTCAACTTTCTTTTGCGATTGAAAATATAACCTTTCTTTTACGCTGATTTTAACAGTGCATCTATGCCACATTATCTCCAGTTCATATCTAAATTGTGACAGTTGATTAGTAAGTGGGTGGGTTTTTTAGTGTTGTTTTTTTTTTTTTTTGCAGAAAAAAACAAGTTGAATTTAAATATGTTGGTTATTATCTTTCATTAAAGATAATCATATGTAACAGCCTCGCTATATATAAACAGGCAATTGGGGGAAATATATTCCTTATAATATGAATGAGGAAGACAGTAGTTGTGATTCTGTGTTTTTTTTTCTTTATTCAGTGTACTGTATATCTTTTATACTTTTGCTTTAATTAAATAAAGAAAATGTTTACGATTATTCCGAGATATATAACGAGTTTTAGACCTTTGTATATCTCTAGATCCTTGTGGACCTCATAAATGATCAATGATACATCTTAGAAGCCTTTTTGGACTTTATTTTCCTGGCCTTTTGAGGAGTAGTGTGGAGGCACCGTTATACTAAGGAGGTGAGGTACTAGAAATTGACTACGGGGCACCCTTTTTTAGTGTCTGAGAAAATGTGAATGTAAGGTGCCATTGTTTGCTTCTGTACAGTAAGTCCTGTTTACAGATTCAGGTAGCTTACTATGACAAATGCCTGTGTTATTTTGAAAATCCTAATGAACTTTGAGTTAACAAAAAAAAAAAAAGTAACGAATGCAAATTTCGCTGTTTTTTTTTTTTAAATCTGTCTAAAACTTTTTGGAACTCTTATATCAACCTGCAGTTGTGCTGATGGCAATAAAAGTTAATGTCACATTGTATTATGTCACCTGTCAAATGCACAATTGCTCCTGTGTTTGGTAAATATATTGTGCCCTGGTCACATTCCTCTCCGTAGCTATTCCGTCCTATGCTAAGTATGCAAGCTTTTTGTTCCTACTTGTTTTCCAGAGTTGTCATCGTGTATAGCCATAGGCAGAATGGCTATCTTTAACTAATTACGACAGTAGCTGTCATTAAATTTATTAATCAATAACATTATCCTGACGTGAAATCTACAGTGCTGTATTCCTCATCGCAATATTTGATTAAAATAACCAACGCCCTGTCTGGCTGCCAATCATTTTGCTTTCACCGCTATATGAACTTTGTCATTAAGAACTATTTGTTAAAATATGCAAGACACCTGTACATCTGAGATTAAGGCCAAACACTGCTTTAGATTGAATAAATATTTGCACAGAATCATTGTATTGAACTATATTATTAAAGCAAACAATTAATGTGCGGTCAGAACAACAGTACTGAAGGCGGTAGGCAGATCATTAATAGATCATTATTGTTAGGAGTGCCCTTTTAAAGTGGGCTTGTCATCGACGGGATGTGTGGGTGAGGAGATCTGCAAGTATGGCATAAACCTGGATCTTACGCTAGCAAAATCACGAACAAAAACTAAAGAAATCAAATTTTGTGATTTGGAACTAAGAGAATCTGGACAGCATTGATAGGCTATGTGCATTGTGCTCATCTGCTAACAGGGCTTACAAATTTGAATGGATTTGGATGTAAAATATAGAAGTGTAACGTAAATGATAACCTACCCATCAGACAGTCATTGCCATCCAGTGCAATGAGTTAATGCTAAGTGTCAGGTGAGGGTCAATGCTGAAGGAGACATGGTTCTTGATAACCTGCTTAAAAATAGTTTGACAAACCTAGGGTACAGCACTCACAGACTATTGGCATTGTAACAACCAAAACAAACTGTAGATAAATAGGGTGCTTAGAGGCCCTTTTAAAGACTAGATTATTACAGTACAGAAGATGCATACAACTTAACTACTAAATAGCAACTTCAAAGCTCACAGATTTTATTAGTTTAAAAAAAAAATATATATATATATATATATATATACACACACACATATTAAGGTGAGTGCACCCCCTAGTTTCATAGTTTCATATATATATTTGGAAGGCCAACTCCTTGGTTTTGGAACCCCTCCCTGTCACAGGTGCCTCATTCCAGGGCTATATTTAACCTTGCACTGCAGAGAGCCCCAGATGGAATTTTTTTTTCCCCAACTAAATGGGTTAATCTCATAAGAGCAGACATTAGGCTGTTAGTGTAGGACCTGCCAAAGATGGGGTACATTGACGTTGTGGCTTATGCAATATACGATAATATACCGTCACTAACCCCTCATTATTTTTGCCTAGATTAGGTGTTTTTTTTTTTTTAAAAAGAATAAAATCTGTGAGCTTTGAAGTTGCTGTTTAGTGGATAAGTAATGAGTACACTGTGTCTTGTGTATTGTACGAATTGGCCCAGCAGCACCCCATTTATGCATGTTCCGTTGAGTGCAGCCCCCTGGTTTCATAGATTATTACGGTAACAGAGTCATTATCGCTTTTGAAGGTATATTCAAAGAAAACGATATATATTTTAAATTAAACACATACACACCTCTGTTAAAGACAGTCAAAGCACCTCCCCCCCACCTGCAAATTAAGTATTTCATAATATAATAAAATAATAATAATAATCTGAAATACTCATATAGACTAAGTTGGAATTTCACTGAAATCTCAATCCAGTCAAGATATACTGAGAGAAAGTAGAGACTGGAATGAGTTAGCGATGTCTAGCAGTGTCACCAGTGACGGCTAAAGGGAATTGGCTGTATCTATGGAGGATACTGTGGTCTTGCAGGATCCTCCATAGATCTTAATGCTTTATTCTTGCACAGACGCGTCAGGAGCAGAAGAGGACCGGCCAGAAGATGATATCAGCGCCCACGAGAAATAGATTCAGGTAAGTTAAACTCACCTTTCCCTGAGCACCGGACCACCAGCGGTGATGTCACCGCCAGGAATCTTTGAAACTTTTACTTTTTAACTTTTAAGTGCCCAGACAGTTACAGTTCCGTTTTAATAAAATTCAACTAAGTTTCATGTTAAATTGCATTTCCACTTTAAAATCCTGAAAGGTAAATAACGAATGAGACGCTGGCATTCCAAAGCGGATCCACTGAATGTTTTTTTAATCAGCAGAATGTATACATAAAGGGTTTTTGTTAATATAAAATCACCAATCTATGTACAGGGAAGGACTTTACATATAATTAATGTGACATACATATATAAATATAAGTGATGAGGAGAAAGGAGATAAAAATCAAATAGACCTGTGTTCTATTACAGACGGTGTGCAGGCAGTGATCTGTTCACATCCTAGATATCTCCACCTCTATACAATATGTAGAAAATAGAGAAGCGTATCCATGTAATCAGCAATAGGTCTACCTGTCTACCAGGGCCATCCCCTGTTTAAATTATAGTTTGAGTATCAGTGGTTGAGAATTCCTGCTAATCAGAGAACAGACATTGTTAATAATTAACTAGCAATATTCCAGAGGAACTTAAAACGTGTTTATATGATTATAGGAGTCTCATTAACCTAGAAAAAGTCCCAATATTTTCCTGTGGTTAGAACGTACTCATATACCAGGAGTGCTATAACCCACTCGCTCTGTCCTCACACGTATCACTGTTAATCGTTACTTGTCACAGCAAATAATCTTCATACTGTACATCACAAGGCATTTATCAAAATCTTTCTATTTTAATCCGAGTCTCGCAAAATGCCTCTTAGGTATTGCATGCTCTGGAAGTGTGTATTTTGAGAAACACACAAACAGTGAGAAAAAGCCGTGATGGCAAAAGTGACAAACTGTTTTTTCGACAAGAGAAAGCAAAGTGTTAATATGTTTTTTTCTTTTAATTTATTAAGTGATCAAATAGTAACTGTAGCTTTACAGAATAAAGTATCTCAAATCAGATATACCTTGTCATCTATTTATTGTCTAACATGCCCCAGTAATTGTACATATGTCTGGGAATCCTGTGTATGTTTGTGCCTATCTACATATCCATTTGTTTGTTCCCACGCTTTTTGTTTTCCATAACTGTGTGTCACGGCTCCCGGTCCCTCTACCAGCATGGCTGCACACAAACTAAGCAGCCACGCCGACAGAGAAATTACAGACTTACTTCGGCCCCGGCTGGCAGCTGCCCGGTCTCCCTCTGTTCCGGTCCCCAGCGGGTGCAACGTTCTTAGGAACACAGGCCACTGTGGTTCAGGGCTTTTATAAGAAATGTACCTTCGCCCACATCAAAGATGGCGCCAACGTGCGTGCGACGTCATAGACGCGCACGCACGTTTTGGGGTCAGAGGACAGAGACAGCCAATTACAGCCTAAGGAGGGTTATTGAAACCCAAATCACCCTTTCATCAGTGCCCTGTCATGGCTTCCACTAGCTGGTTATCTGAGAGTGTGTTCCTGATCGTGTTTTTCTGGTATTTGACTTTGGCTTCGTTTTGAGTTCCCTGATTTCTGGTATCATTGACTTTTGGCTTTCTCCATCGTTGTGTCTCTTTCTGTGTCCCTGACCTCGGCAAGTATTTTGACTATTCTCAGGTACGTTAAGTCCGGCCACTCTAAGGTCTGGTTAGACCTTATCCTTAGTCCTAGGTGTGATACTATTCTGCGTGCTGGATCCACAGTAATCCTGACACTGTGCCTCTGCTTATACCTCCTCCCTCATTAGCAGATATGTTTCAACCTGGCCTCTTCGCTCCAATTAACTGTTACTGTTATGTTCTTGCAACCCAGACAAACACCTGCAGGACTTTACCAGACTTACTCCTTCCTTTTTGAAATGCTCTCCTACACCATAATCAACTCTACTAGTCTCTGCAGTCAAAGAAAACCTTAAAAACGCATTTTTTGTGAACAAAAACGTATCCCTAATAACCTTCCGGTGTTGTCTCGCAAACACCTCTCCAAACCTTTCAGGTATATCCAAGTCATTTGATTCCCTCATTTCCATCTTGTTTGGGCAGGGTCCTCTTCACCTATTGTTCCTGTATGTCTACTCATTTAAAATAACCATATTTAGGTGGAAATATTGGGCTATCTGTCTCTATTCAATTCCAATATCTGTTTAGTTTTCTATATACTTGCCTATATGTCAATTATTTCAATTGCTTGTCAGTCCATCTGATCTATGTCTCTGCATGCCTGTTTGCATGTCACTGAGGAGAGAAATCTCCTGAAAGGAATCTTAGGAAAACTGATATTATCATAAAGTATACACAGCTCAATAATGTACCATATATAATGTACATGTTACAAGTGACAGAAACACAGCAATAAGAATTAGGCTGATAAGAACTGCCTTGGCACCCTAGACATTGGTTAGCTTCCCACCATGCTTAACCAGCCTAAAGGACTCACACAAGGTTTCTTTAGTGAGCTTTACTTTAATTATTTAAAGTGGTTTGCTTAGTACTCTACTGTGACTGGCTGGACGTATATGCCGACAAGAATGTGTGAGGACCAATACAACCATGCAGAGGAATGCAAACACATCGGTCATCCAACAAGTATACATTCTTCTTCCGTACAGCGATCCTTTTAAATAGTTGCTTCTAGTCCCTGGGCAGGGGATGATGGTACAATGAAAGTATGAAATTATGTTAAAGTGTTTTGTTTTGTTTTTGCCTTGTTAATGTTACGGAAGACACCACTTCGTGATAATTAATGAAAGTTAGAGGGAGTAGATAGGTATAGACACTTGGATTTTTATGACATAGGAGGATTATCTTGTCAATTAAATGGACAAGGGTTTGAGAATCCTTCACGATGTTGATATCTGAAAAGGTTTAGGCAGTAATTTGAGCAGCCCATCGTCTATCTGGGAATATCACAGTATATTGGCTAGCAGGCTTAAAGATCCACTGGCCTTATAGTATGCATATGGAGAGGAAATCACACATAGCATTAGAACTCTAGACTGTAAGCTCGTTTGAGCAGGGTCCTCAACTGCCTATTGTTCCGGTTACATTTTGTTATTGGTCTCATTTGGTAAATTCCCCTTTTATTGTAAAGCGCTGCAGAATAAGCTGGCACTGTATAAATACCAATAATAATAATAACCAAGATATTCTGGTCATTTAATATTTAGTATTTAGGCCAAAGGACATGTGCCGCCTCAACTTCTATATAAGGTCCCCATATTGCACCGTGTGATTGAAAAAGAGAATGTTGAGTTAGGAAAGGAGTCATATGATATAACCAAATAGATTTCACTCACTCACAACAATGCCTCTCGTTTATCTTTTTGTGTAAATATATAAAAGTTCTAAACAGGTCAGTGCAGTACACCAGAGGTGTTTTACAAACCAGCGCACATCTGCACACTGTATAAACGACATAGACCCCAGCTGACCAATACTATAATGAAACAAATGGGAAGGCCAGAAATAGCAGAGAGGTTTCAGACAATTCCAGGTCTCTCTGAAGGTCTTGGGGACCTGCAGCATTTAAGGGTATTTTTTTCTAATTATTAGAGTTATAATTTTCGTTTATTTTTGCATTATCAATTTGTCTTCATACTGTATACAAATTGGTTGGAGGAAATTAGAGCCTGGAGTGTCCCTTTAATTATTCTTTAAAGAATACATTAACAGGACATAGTCAGAAATAGATACCGTAGGTATTACATTTGATTGGATTTACAAACAAGTTACAGAGGTGGTCCTCAGATTGCTTAAGCTTATAAGAAATTATCCTACTCTAGATATTTAACAATTAAACTGTACCGACTCTAAAAACACATTTTCCAGCTTTCAATAGAGGGAGTTTTTGGATATGCCTGAATTGTTACTTCTTCCTAAGCGTACCTACAACCTCTTTTCTCAAAAGACAAGACACATCTGCCACCATCGCTAGTATACGTCCCTGTAACAACTGTCGAGCAACCAAAAGATTGATTATCAGTCAAAAACATTGCACAACACCAGATTCTGGTAGGTTAAGCTTGCTGATCCAGCAAGGGATGGTGTAAATGTTTCATCAGTGTGTGCCAATAGTTTGGTATAACACAAAAATAATAATTTTAAAACAAAACACAGCGATGAATAGGAGTAAGAAACACGACCACATCAATTAGAATAGAAGCAGTATAAATATACATTTTGCTCATCCTTCTCTTTTAACTGCAAAGAGAAATGAAGAGAAAGACAGAGACAAAAACAAGCAGAGACAATGAGCGCTAGAAATTTGCTTGATGAAGTTTGATATTCGTTTAAATGTCCAGTCAAGTGGATACAATTGCCATAAGAATGATCAGACTGCATGTGCCCTGCAGGCTCCCTAACATGCTGATGTGCTGAGTATAGTAAAATGTGGGCAGCCGGCAGAGCAGTGTGAGAACAAGCAGGCTCGGAGTTTTATACAGCGACTCCTGGCAGGGATTTCATAGCTTGCAGAGGTATTTACTGTTAAGGAGAGTTTAGATGTGGAAAAAAAAAACCTGGTAATTTACAAAAAAAATTTTTTTTAAAAATTCTAAACTATTTCAAGGAAATTGTAACTCTTTTTTTTTTTTTTGCTACCAAAAGTAGAATTAGATGCCTATATTATCTGTGTGTGTGTGTGTGTGTGTGTGTGTATATATATATATATATCAGCATTAACATGCACAAGCAATAACAATTAACAGAAAATATTTGTTAAATGGGCATGAGTTGACAAATAAATGTATTCAAAATAAATCAATGTAAACTTTCTGTGTCAGCTCAGGAAAAAACTCCTGAAATCATTATATATGGGTGCGGAGTATAAAAATATAAATAAATAAAACTGTGAGGTAAAACTGACCATGGCTCACCACCTTACCAATGGTCCCATTCATTTATTTCATAAATAATGCTGTGGCACAGGTGCTCTCATAGAAACAAGGAGGGTACTTGTATAGTATTCTCTGCCCTATGGCCACATACTATAAAAGTACTTGTGGGACCAGGTGGCCCCACAAGCTTTTCATGTGACAAATTTGCATGTGGAGGTAGTTAACAGCATATAAAGGAGAGTCTTTAAATGCAAACTGTAATTCAGATATGGACTTCTTCCTCACTACGGCTATAAGAAGGTGAGCTACATCTCACTTATTTAATTCAAGAAAGGCCACAACAATCATCTAGGGACAGTGGCGGAACTATCAGCAGTGAAGACGCAAAGAGGCCTGAAGGGGGGGGCCATCGCGTGACCCATGTACTTAGGCAAATCAGCAATGCTGAGTGCAGTTCACTTCCCCCCAGCTACAGAGAGCCCATCTGGGAGGCAGAGAGGAGACACTTACAGGAGAGGGTAAAGCAAGAAGAGAAGCTCCTATCAGCTGATTGAGTGTGAGGCCTGGTGGGCACTGTGGTAAGGAGAGGCGGCCGATCTTCCGGTCCAACTCATGGCTAACTGAAACACTATGGAGCTGATGGCCTATTCACCCCCCCCCCTCCTTTTGGACCAGCGGGGGGTGAGACCGGTCCTCACCCTGGAGGCACCGTACTCTACGGGAGACATTTGGCTTTGCCATGACACACGAAGACTCTGAAAGCATTACACTCAAAATAGCGGAGGCTGCATATCCCCTGATAAGGTAAGAAGGTCCCAAGTTGAATTCAAGCTGGAGGCCTTTTGGAGAAAGCTATGGAGGAAGCTGATCTTACCAGTGGTTGGTGTGGCATCCGCTCGCTCGTACTGACAAGCCTCATATCATTCTGAATCCTTCATCACGGGCCTAGAGCGCCTGAGATGGAGAAGGCTGCAGCGGAGGGGCTTGAGGAGAGCAGTGTACAAATGTGCATCGTCGCTGACCGCCCACATGTCAGACAAGAGGGATACATGGAAAGATGGTGTGAGGAGAGGGATGCAGCTTCAAACGCAGAATCTTCATTTTCACACACACACATACTCCACACAAAAACATGCTTACATTCAAACTCACAAACACTGCTCAAATACAACCATGCAAGAATTGGCGAATGGAGGATCCCCAGATGGCATAGCATCATGGGAATTGTATCACATAATAAATAAATAATAAATGGTGTCTCTGATCCTTCACATGTTTGATATTTATTGTATGTGACAATGTAAGCACATACAGAAAGCCTTTCTTTTCCATTATGCTAGTATTTTAGGAATCTGCTCTCCAAAACATATAAGCAGATCCTTTGAAAATCCCCATGAGCAATTTATTTTACCTTTTTTTTATTAATTTAAATTAAATTATAACACCTTCTGCATGCATCAAATGTAATGGAGCATTTTAGTTATGAAGAGATGTTAAATTAAAATCTCTTTAGTTTGGAAAAACAGCACCTCAGAGGGGATATGATAGCATTATACAAATATATTCGGGGGCCAGTACAAACCATAGTCTTGAAATCTATTCATAAATTGGACTATGCAAAGGACACAAAGTCATGCATTTAGATTGGAAGAAAGGAGATTTAGTCTAAGGCAAAGGAAATGTTTTTATACAGTAAGAACAATAAGGATCTGGAATTCTCTACTTGAAGAGGTGTTTTTCTTTCTATACAGATGTTTAAATGACAATTGACTAAATACTTGCAAAAAGATAATATTAGGGGATATCATTTTGAATTAGTGGGGTAATAGCTTATTGATCCAACTCTACCATTCTGGGGTCAAGAAGGATTTTTTTTCCTAGTTTGTTACAAAATTGGAAGCGCTTCAAACTGTTATTTTTGCCTTCTTTTGTATCAACAGCAAAAACAGATGTGAGAAAGGCTAAACTCAATGGACGTATATGTCTCTTTTAAGCCTATGTAACCATGTAGCTATATATCAGCTGAAGGTTAACTGTACAGTGAGAAAGGCCTATCAAGGTATGAAAAATGCTTTCCATTTTGTCTCTGTTAAAGTCAGGTTCCAAACTTTCTTATTAATGCACATTACAAGGTAGGTTAGCTTAAGGAGTATATTGTAAATTATAGAAATTCATTTCTTTGCCTCAATCTGATGACCACGAAGCTGAGAGGACGCTATACTGCACAGCTCTCGCACATTCTGACATACAGAGTTAAATACCTTGCTTGGTTCGCCTTTTCTTGCTGAGACTTAGCCAGCACTTTAAATTTACTATTACTTTTTATCATTCAAATATTTTTATAGAAAAGAACAAAACATAAAAATCAATCTTTTCATAAAGACAACAGGGAACATGTCTCAACTACTGATTGCCAAAGGACCAGCCACGTGGAAAAATAGCATTGATTATACAAGGTGTTTTTTGGCTTCGCGGACAAATAGTAATGCAATTAGAGCCACAAAGAATGCACTCTTTAATACTGATAGTCTGCTACCTGACATACATTGGGCTGCTCTACATAAAACCATATTTATTTCATGTGCATAATGATCAAATTTATCCCAAAGGACACAACACATGCCAGTTGAATATTAGTTAAAAATCAGCAAATATAGGAGGTACCAGCTTACCCTTTTTTCTCCCTTTTTTTCTAATGCTCTTAAAATGCTTAAAGAGTACAATTGTCTTATAGGACCACTACAGGCACCCAGCCTATTTCATCTCAATGAAGTGGTCTGGGTTTAATAGCCCTGTAGTTTTAGTCCTTCAGTGTAAAACATTGCCATTTAGTAGATAGGGCAATGTTTCCATTGCAGGGATAACACATCTCTATTATTATTATTAATATTATTATTATTGGTATTTATATAGCGCCAAGTAATTCCGCAACGCTTTATAATATTATAAAAAGGGGGGGGGAATTTACAATAAATGAGACAATTGAACAGTGACACAGGAACAATAGCTTACAGTCTAGAGGAGGTGGGGTAGAAATACACAACAGGGTATTCCCTGAGGACAGGTGACAAGCTACAGATGACGACTAACGAACACTTAATACCGTTCAGCTTTCAGAATGCCCGAATCTCACCACAAAGCCAATTGGACATATCGTTAATAAAGTCAACTACACTGGGCATTACACACAATACCGCCAACGACAGGCAATCCACTCTAAGCAGCCAACTGGCCACGTAAGCAGGGTGGGGGGACCACCCACACCCTCACCCTCACCTCACACATTCCCTGAGGACAGGTGACGAGCTACAGACGACAACTAACGAACACTCAATACCGTTCTGCCTTAGGGTGCACTGGCCCTGGGGGGCGCAAAATTCTAGTGACCGGCAGGAGGAAAGCGCTTCCTCCTACCAGGCCATGTTATGGTCCCCTCGGTGTGCGGCTGTGGTAAAATCAGAGGCGACGAGGGAGCTGTGATTTCCCTGCTCTGCTCCCTCGCGCACCGTTTGCTGATGCCGTGGGAGCTTGAATATGATGTCATATTCCAGCTCCCGGCATCAGTAGACAGCCTACGAGGTGCGAGGGAGCAGAGCAGGGAAATCACAGCTCCCTTGCCACCTCTGATTTTACCACAGCTGCCCGCCTCCCAGCAGCCCCACAGGACCCCAGGGACAGATTCAAGCCAGCTCTATAGGTAGGGAGGCTGGGTGGAAAGTGTTTAATTATAAAATATTATTATTAGTGAGCGTATGTGTGTGTGAGTGTATGTGTGTGCATGTGAGTGTATGAGTGTGTCTGTCAGTGTGTGTTTGTGAGTGTCTGTCAATCAGTGAGAGTATGTTTGTCATTGAGTCTATGTGTGACTATCAGTGTGTCTGTCAATAAATGTCTTTCAGTGTGTGTGTGTGTGTCTGTCAATGAATGAGTGTGTGTCAGATCAGCGAGTCTGTGTCTGTCAGTGATGCCTGTGTGTTCTGTCATTGAGTGTGTGTGACTGTCAGTGTGTATACACCACTGAGTGTAGCGTTGCGGAGCAGAGTGCGGTACAGGAGCTTCTGCAAAAGACACAAAGGGGCTAGGAGAGAAGGAGTCACACAAAGGGGCTGGGAGGAGTGAGACACACAAAATGTGGGAGGATGTAAGAGTGATACAAAGAGGGGAGATAAGAGACACACAAGGGGGGTTGTAAGAGATACACAAGGGCGTTGTAAGACACACAATGGGGAAAAATAGGAGATAAGAGACACTAAAGGGGACATTTAAAAGAGAGGATAAGAATCACAAAAGGGAAGTTAAGAGGCACACAGGTGAAGATGTAATTTTTTTGGGGGGGAGGGCGGAAAAATGCATCTTCGCCTATGTACCCAAAAATACTTGCACCGGCCCTGCGCATGAGGCTTTACCACAGCGGAGATACCCAGCTAGACTAGATGAAAGAGGAGGCCATTACCGCACCTCCCCACCACTCTCAGCGCAGGCAGGGGCCACTACAATCGATAACCCTACCATGCCACGCAGGCCTAAGGCTGCTACAAGCCCAACCACGACTCTAAGAAAACAGACCATCCCTTTCGAGCTGGGCCCATCCACAGATTCATTCACCATGGCAAAGCACACCCTCTAAGCATAAGGGTCAGCGCTCACTTTGGGATATAGTGGCTTAGGTTTCTGAACAAGATCACCAACTTACCACCCTAGCATACATTTAGCTAGCACCATATATACGTTAGTTATTATGCAACGACAAACTGTCCAATAGTGCAGTACATGGCACTGGTCTCAGATCGAAATATAGCTTCGATGATTACCGATATAAACTCTGCCACACATTGACATACGCACGCTGAATGTTTACTAAACACCATGCTCTAGAAATCTGATAACCTGGAAGGTCCCAGCATCGGCAACCCAATTCCTCAGAACACATTGTAGCATGCTACGGTCTATTTGTATATCTACACAAGTTATACGCATATCTGTTTTGTATTATTGCCATTACCAAGTTCCTAATTTTAACATATACGCCTTTGCGTAGGCAACCATATGCTATTTTCAAGAATTGTGAACTGTTTGCTTTTTACATTACAATCAAAATAAAAACCATTTACAACAAATACACAACGGGGCAGCAAGGGTGACAGCAAACAAACAAGGTGGAAAAGTAGCAGAGCTGGAGGTGAGAGTGGAGTGTGGCTCTTTAGGAGAGCAAGATACCGATAGGTATAGATAAGTTACTCTGGGAGTCCATAAGCATTTCTGAAAAGATGTGTTTTGAGGGACTTTTTAAACAATTAAAGACTAAGGGAGAGTCTGATGGGGGTAGGCAAGCTGTGCCAAAGGAAGAGCCACCCGCGAGAAATCCTGCAAGCGCGAGTTAGCAGAAGGGTGCTAGTGGCAGTCTTCCTGAAATTCACTAGAGATGCATTCGCTGTGAGAACATGTTAAAATCACATCCTTTGAGGCTTCTCATGTAAAAGATTTGAATGGAGGAGCACAGCATTCTGCGCGCATGCACAGCTTGCCCCCAGTACATCTCTATGAGAAGCATTGGATTGGACAAGAACGTGGAAGACGTCAGCATGCTTGCTGATGAAGAATCCGGTGGCTGCACCGCCTGGTCTTGGTGCTGGAAACAAGGCAAATAAAAATGTATTTCATTTATTTTTTTCTACAGAAAAGGGGTGAACAGAGTTCACTGTAAATAGGGGAACATATAGTCATGAAATAATTATTATTTTCCCTTTAATTGATAATTAATGTGAGTTTAAAGAGTTGGAAACTAAAAGGTAAAAGTTCTAATTAATTAATTTATGGAAAGGGTAGGTGACACTAAGGGGCGTCTTAACTAAACAGTAAGGATTAGTTCTATGACGGTCACCTTCATTTACTGGCAAGTCGATAATCACAAAAATGTCTGTCATGTACGACAGCAACTACTTTCAGTTTTCATGCTACAAAAACGTAAAGTTTAGTGACTGGTATTTCGCAGCTGCTGAAGGTTTTAACATCTCCCATAGAGATTAATGGAAGACGCTAAATGCTATTTACCACAACTAGTTTCTCGGTTTCCATGTTAGATGGTAAAAATTACCTTTGTGAATCTAGGTGAAAAATAAACAAACAAACATCATATTGAAATGACTGTACGGTTGGCTTGAGTGGTAAAACAATAAAACATATTTTTTAATTTCTTACATCTTGGTGTGGCAATTGCAAAATGTTGAAAACAAACAACAAATTTTTGTGTGTGCGTATATTTGCACATGCTCTTAAATATTTCAAGACTAGATTGTTGCTGGTTTTAGATTGCAGGAAATGAAGAAAAAAAAAGGATTCTTTTCACATTAAAATATAAAAATAATAAAGCGGCCTTTGGCAGTATTTCTGTTCTCATCTATACGATTTCCTTTTATGAGCGCTCTGTGGAAATGACTCTAAGCCAAAACAATTCTTGAATACAAAGGGGTGTCCAGCAGAGCAGAGCCGAGCCACCTGACAAGAATATTTTATCAAATATTCATTAAATTACAGAGAAAATTTGCTATATTCGATTTAATAAATGTATCTAGAAATTAGGAAGACATCTTCAACTTGTGTTGCTTGATTAGTGACAAAAACATTTAATGCTATTTTTTTTTTAACCTATACTTCGACTAATATTACAAAATATTTTATGCAGAATCATGTTAGGATCATAAAGCATTTAATTTGTTTGCAGTATTCTGATTTAACGTACTTGAGAAGGCAAATTTCCATCTCTTTAAATATTAGTCTCTTAACATGAATAGCGTTAAAAAATGAATACTGTTAAAAAGACTTCATCAAGGAGCAGAAAAAAAGGCCAGAGGCTTTCTTTTTTATTTTGATAACAGAAAGTTCGATTTTTAGGTTTTGTTCCAATTATTTCTGCTCATAAGTTACCTTAATTATCTTACTTTGGAAATGTTTCTACAGTGCTACAAGCTTAATGAATTGTGTCTGTTATGTGTCACTGGAACTAAACAGCAAATTCAATAATCTGTGATTTAATTTATGATATTTTCACCATTTAACCTCCTGCAGGCTCCCTAATGTCTATTCAGATCTATATTAAATTAAGCACCGACGCTAATGAAAGCCAATAAACCTGGCTGTCAGTAGATTTCTCTTTCATTAGACAGATTATACTCGTGCTAAACTATAAACGGGTAAACATTAGCATTACTAAACAGAGCAAATGGCAGAGTGAAAAATTATCCCTAATTGCCAACTCTAAAGGCAGAAATAATTTTTCAGTGTTTTGTTTTGGTTTTTGGTACCTTTAACACTTTTGAAAGGATCTATGAAGGACTCTCCAGTTGATATGTAAATGTCAGTATCATGGGCTATGTCTTTCGGTTCAAAAACTTCTTCACCATCTGCCAAAAAGATTCTTCTGGCCGCCATATTGAGTTTCAGTTTCACAGTGCACCTCTCCAGGAGCTGAATGGGATAAGAAGGTATTACAGGAGATGAATACAGTGCAGACAAAAAAATAAAACAGACGAAAATGGGTAACACACTCGTTATAAAAGACAATGAAAACACACACATACATGTACATAGATATACAAATGCATACACACACATATATATATATACACAGATATATCAAAATATAAACAGCTGTAGTGGTTATGGTGCTTAGATCACCCATTTTAAAGGACAACTGTCAATTCAAATCTAATCACCTCAAAGAATGTTTAATATAATAATCCTTTCTTCAAGTTTTGAAAAGAACTGTATATATTTTAATGAACTATATATATAAAAAATAAAATAAAAAAAGAGAGAAACTCATCGCAACCTTTAGAATATATGACAGGATCTTTCAGCCAGCCATATACATGCACCTTGGGTCGGAGTGTGTTTGAAAACAGAAAAAAAATAAAACACTCTGTGATAATGAGGATAGCAACGTTTAGAGCCTAAATTATGCACTTGACTCTGGGGATCCAAAACGCTGCTTGTTTTGTGGGGGACTTACTCTGAAATAAATCTACAGCATCATTATCACAGAGTGTAGCCTGTGTCTTTCATTTTTTTTTTTCTGTTGCTTGGACGGATCAGCGGTACATGGAGCACCTCTGTGATTGATGGCCGGCTCATGTGATGGAACTTGAGTGCAGAGATTGTAGTTTTTGGTGCACGAGGCAGGGAAGACCATAGAGACTAACTGTTTTTTTTTTTTGTTTTTTTTATTTCTTAAACATGGTCTGACCCAATGTGCATGTATACGGCTGAAGGATCCTGTTATTTAATAAATGTAGGGATTTAAAAAAAAAAAAAAAAATTCTAACAATATAATTAATTTCTTTACAAAAATAATGGCTTTCAAAACTTGATGAAAGCTTTCTTATATTAAAAATTTGTTTTGGAGGTGACTTTTGTCCTTTCCTTTAATCCACCACAAGTTTGTTGATAATTACATATCCAGTTTAACGTTACATCATGTAATAGTTTTGACTTGTAAATAAAGCCAGTTAATAAAGTAAACGTTACCAGCTGAATAGTAGGCGCTGAAACTTTAACAGGCATGCTTCTGGTTCCATTCTTGTAAGCAAAAGCTTTGATCACAAAGGCTTGCCGTTTAAAAACTGGAACTGCCCCAAAGCCACCAGAATACATGTGGGTTTTTTTCACGGAATGTCTGAAACAAAAATAATGATATGATAATCTGCTCATATTCATTAAAAAACTAACTTCTTCTATAAAATGACACGCATACACAAAATAGAATATAAAGATAATAGAGTTAGGATAAACACGCAAACTTATATTCTAATTGAGATAGGGTTAGTTCTTAGCTAACACTGTACTACAGATGAGTATATAAGCATTCCACAGGCACTCAAGTTGTTGCCCAATTCTAAATTATTATGTTCTGAGGGTATAAGAATAGACAACCCAGCTTGGTTCCAATTGACTTTGGGTGTAACCCGTCCACTGTGTCTGGAATGTTTCCTTTTCTATCCTTTCTGGATAGATAGACAGATAGATCGATATATAGGTAGACAGATCGAAAGATAGATAGATCGATAGATAGATAATAGATAGACAGACAGATAGATAGATAGATAGACAGACAGATACACAGAGATAGATAGACAGATAGATAGATAGATAGAGAGATAGATAGATAAACAGATCGATAGATAGATTGATAGATAGATAGATGAACAGACAGATAGATAGATCAATATATAGGTAGATAGATCGATAGATAGATAGATCGATAATAGATAGACAGACAGACAGACAGAGAGATACACAGAGATAGATAGACAGATAGATAGATAAACAGATAGATAGATAGATCAATATATAGGTAGATAGATCGATAGATAGACAGACAGATAAACAGATAGATAAATAGATAGATAGATAGATAGATAGATAGATGGATAGACAGACAGATACACAGAGAGATAGATAGATAGATAGATAGATAGACAGACAGAGAGATAAACAAAGAGATACATAGATAGATAGATAGATAGATAGAATATAGATAGACAGATAGATAGATAGAGATAGTGGTAGTGATGAAGAGACGGATATATGGATTATTGTGCTGTCTTTTATGCTTTCTTATTTTATTTTTGGTTTCTTTGGGTGAATATATATCACTGGGAAAGTAGAGGGGGGGAAAAAACAACAGCTTTATAGACCTGAAAACACGGTATAATACATTTTCTTTTAAGTAAAGGTCTAATAACTTGTTAGAACTCAAAAATATTGCAAAGAGAACATATGAAGTAACGAAAAGCAAACAAATGAACTCTATTTAACAGGTGTAAATTCTTTTGTAAAGAAACACCATATTACAAGTCAACAGAAAGCAATGCAGAACTGCTTTGATTACCTAACGTGACCCGGTGGAGCACTGACAGACCTGTTTTTCTTGGATGATGATGAGAAGTAGGGATTGTCAGAACTGTCTGAAATGTTGAGGTCTAAATCTGAAACTCCATTTCTGCTGTGAACAGATGTTGTTTGAAGTGGGGAGTAATCTTGATAGGCTGACCTTCTCGATACATGTTCTGATTGAAGTGCAGTGCAAGAGCTAAGACAAGGGCTCTCACTTCGCCGTCTGTCTTTTTTGCGTCTAGCTGATATTTCAGCGTAAGGGGATTTGTATTTTCTAAAGAAAAAGTGAAATATTAGATTAGATATTGGAAGTGTTATAATTCCAACAAATGTACAACTATTCTAGTTCTTTTACATGCTGGCAAATAAAAACGAAAAGACAAAAACCACTTCTATCTAGCAATTTTCACAATGCCCATAAAACGAGAATACGAGAGAATATATACTGAAGTTGGATTAATCATCATTACTGAAACACTGCAGAGGATTGTTTTAGTAAATCTAAATCACACGTTCAGTTCTTGAATTGAGTTAACGTTTGTCCACCAGAGAAGATGGTCCAGATAAGGAGCAAACATATATATATTGAATAAAAATTAACTAAAAAAATAACAGGATGGCTTTAACTCTGTATTCACTGATATATGGTCCAATTCTACCATTTCAACATGTGTGTCCATAGATCCTGGATGGCTCGGCAGGAGGTCTCAACTTCCAAAACATAAAGTGTGCTGAAAAAATTGAGGAGACTCAAAAGCCACCCTTTACCCGATATTTCCTGAACAAGACGTACTTTATTGTTTCTCCATACAGGTCACAACAATTGTCTGACAATCTTTTTGTTCTAACCATATATTCATAAGAATCGTTGTGGACAAGCTTTCTATTTTATTTCGAATATTAAATCATTTTTCATCTGAAAAAAATCATTTTTATAGAGAGGGTTCGGAATAGCCATTTCTCAACCCTGATAATGCATAACAACGAGTAGGTAATCGCCAAATTTTCTGCCTCAGCATTAGTTTTCCATAGATTTTCCCTCTCAGGGTTAGTCACTAAATTCTAAAATGTAATGCGTTGACACGTGAATGGAAACATTTTGGAAAACAGCGAATTGTAAGAAGATTTCAACTTTGCTTTTTTTTGTTTTGTTAATTTGCAGAATAGAACTAATTAAAGCAATATACAGAACCCAAGAGAGTGTCCATAATAACTTCTCAGTAAATTAGCAAATAGTAAATTGGAAGTGAGAAGAAAGGTGACTATTTTAACCTACATTTGGCAATATGGATTTTAATTCATTCCAATTTGTAATTTAAAGGAACACTATTAGAGCTGTACTAGTTATGGTATCACTGCCTGGAAAAACGTTACTTTTATTATCAAGATCCTGGGCCCACCGTTATGTGCTCCCAGTCTGACTCTAACGTTATACCATGAAATGACAACTCGATTGTGCAGAAGAGGACTATGATCTATTTTATGAGGAGGCTAAGGACAGCTGATTTTCAGCTCTGCCCAATCAAAGTCATCCTTAAATGGTTATCATAATTGGGCCAATTTAAAAGAGTCAAATTAAATATCACAAAACAAGTTTTTCATTTAAGTTTTTTTTTGGAGAAATTTAAGGGACAACTAGAAGTTTAGGAAATGTTCTAAAATAAAATTTCCCAACAGAAATACTAAGACACTGGGTGGCTTCATATATGAGCTTCTTAAAATCCATTGCTGTCCAGCCAAAACTGTAACAGCTTCGGAAAGTAAAAATCACAAAACACAAACTAAATGGCAAAGTACAATTAGTATAAAATGCGATTGTCACATTAGATATTTGAATGACATAATGTAAAATGACAGTTGCTAAGGAGTTACACTTGCTGTCGATTTACTGGCAGAATGTTCCCTGTCAAGCTTTCTTATTTTCCTATAGAAGAATTCAAATAATAATGTAGAGCAATTATTTACAATATACAGTGAGGTACATCACAAAGTGTCTTCTAACCCCTGATAATTGTGTTGGCGTATATTCAGATGCTATTGTTAGTTTCACAATCGTGCTATCGTGTGTATTGGGGAATTTTAACAGATTGCCATATTCACAAATAAAAAGTTAAATCCATTAACTTTCAAAAGATGAGCCCGTTAGTTATTTACGATACAATCAAAGGGTTAAAAATTATGAATCAGTTTGTCTGAGCATATCACTTGACCTCTAGCATTAGGAATTGAATCATAAATTGGTTCAGCAATGGTCTAGTTAGTGGCAACAATCCGTATCCATTTCCCTTTCACTTATTTAGTTTTACCTTAAAGCAACACTATAGCGTTCGTAATACAAAAGTGTATTCATAATGTGAATTTACCGTGGTAATGAAATGTATTATAATAAATGAAGCTATATTCCGCCATTGTCAGTGTTACTATCATGACACGTGATCTTTAAAAATAGACATTTTAAAGTGAATCTTACCCTTACAGGTATTTCTGTAACTTTATACTTTCTCGCTTAGGACCCAAACAGTGACTGCACTCATGTTGTGTAATAAGCTAATTGAATGTCTCATTCCCGTATCATGTATGAAAATCTATTAACTAATAGAAATATAATAAATGTCTTACTGGGGCAAAACATGTGGTTTTGCAGATGGTCTTTCTAAGGCGTCCAAATATTCTTTCACGATTACGTCTTCCAAACTGCTTTGCTGAGAACGTATGGTTGTAGTTGAAGAGAGTGAATTTTTGCGTGAAGAGGAAGTGTATGATAGGGTCTTATTGGTGGAAGCGCTAGATGGCCTGCTTTGGTCAGCCATTGTCCTATGGAAAAATAAACGTTTTTATATTAGTTAGAAAGTACAGATTCATTAGAAAATAAATCAGCATGATCGTGGCTATAAAATAATATTCTAATGCGTTCACAGCAATTCCAAAAACAGTAAAAAAGGTCCAGAGCCATGAGGGCAGGTACCTTGGGGGATGCTAGGGAGAGTGGAGATTCATGTAGGGGGAGGTTTGGGGCCCTCAGAGCAGGAGGAGCGAAGGGGACCTGGGATCTGAGTCTCACCCGGGGTAAACAAATGCGTCATAAGAATTTTAGCACTAGAGGCCGCAGGACTGCGGAGGAGTGGCCGGCAGGTTGGGAGGTTACCCAAGGTTGGGAGGGGGATTGGATTGGGGGGACAGCATGGCTTGAGAGGCACAACACAACGTAGACCTATTACATAGCTTTTGACACATGTGTGATATGGAATTGGGTATTGTTACATAGAAATGATGGAGCACTGTTGGTGGCGGGGTGGCATGGCGGGTTAGCCTAAGCTGGCGTGCTGGTCCTGCCGCTCCACCACACGATGGGAAACTATCCATGCACAGAGGTTTATTACAGCGCTACTTAACTATTCACCTAAAGATGTATGTAACTGTATATTGGTCTACCCCCCCCTCCCTGGGGCGAAATCATCCTAGCCCCCCCAACCCCAAAGGTATCTATCACCAGGGGTAAAAACCCATGGGTACCGATCTGGACCTCTCAAAAGGAAGCCCACACTGTGGACAGACCCCTCCCGGCCCCACTTCCCCCACTACCCCTTCAGCCTACACTAGCTAGATTGTTTTGCCACACTGACTAAATCTCTTTCTCTGGCCAGGGGGCAGACAGAACACACCGGAACGTTCAAATCTTGAAGGGACACCATAGGCACTGTATCTGCTTTATCTCATTAAACTGGTTATAGTGTCTGGAGTCCTCTGGTACCATCATTTCTTTCAGCATTAAACAGTTTTTAAACTTTTAATGTGTTAATGCTAAACTAGAGTCCCCGGCAATCCATCCCCTCTGTGCTGCTTTGGCTAATAAGGAAGTATTAGCCTGAGCAGCAATAGGCAGCTGTGATTGGCTGAGAGTGTCATCTGACTGCTTTTAGCCTGTCAGATTTCCAACTGACGGTATGAATGGGTATGACAACAAGCAGGTGTGTAATCTCTGCCTTAGCTACACATACTGAAGGGGACGGACTGTGGGTGGCCAGGGACTCTTATTTTGTGGCCTACTGCACGAACATGGTGCAACACTGAATGGAGGGACAGCGCCAGGGCACTCCAGGCACTATAACCAATTCAAAGAGATGAAATGCTTATAGTGACTACACTGTACCTTTAAGCAAGTGGAATGCGATGAGGAAAATGTGGAAGCTTTATGGGTAAATATCTGCTTGGGGGAAAAGAAGGGAAACCAACTATTGGTTGGGATATGTTATAAACCTAATGTTAATATTGACGAGGAACAACAGCTGTTTGAGCAAACTGAGAAAGCTGCAAATCTGGGTAACACTTTAATTATTGGAGATTTTAATTACCTGGACATAAATTGGGACAGAGGGACTAGTAGCTCAACAAAGGGAATTAGGTTTTTGAACTTGTTAAATGACACCTTCATGTCAAAACTTGTACAAGCACCAACTAGAATGGACGCTTGTCTGGACCTGGTTTTAACAAACAACGTTGATCTTTTGACCAACATTCAAGTAGGTGAGCACTTGGGAAATAGTGATCACAATATAATGTCCTTTGAAATAAACTCAAAAAAGCAAAAGCACATGGGGTATACTAAAACATATAATTTTAAAAGGGCCAATTTCAATAAGTTAAAGGACCACTCTAGGAACCCAGACCACTTCAGCTTAATGAAGTGGTCTGGGTGCCAGGTCCAGCTAGGGTTAACCCATTTTTTCATAAACATAGCAGTTTCAGAGAAACAGCTATGTTTATCAATGGGTTAAGCCTTCCCCTATTTCCTCTAGTGGCTGTCTCATTGACAGCCACTAGAGGCGCTTGCTTGCTTCTCACTGTGACCGGCTGAATGCGCGCGCAGCTCTTGCCGCGCGTGCGCATTCAGCCGACGGGGAGGAGAAGAGGAGGATCGGAGGAGGAGAGCTCTCCGCCCAGCGCTGGAAAAAGGTAAGTTTTAACCCCTTTCCCCCTTCCAGAGCCGGGCGGGATTGGGACCCTGAGGGTGGGGGCACCCTCAGGGCACTATAGTGCCAGGAAAACAAGCATGTTTTCCTGGCACTATAGTGGTCCTTTAAGGGCAGCTTTACAATATATTGACTGGCATAAACTCTTTAGTGAAAAGAACACTAAGGATAAATGGATCATCTTCCAACAAATATTAAAAAGGTACATTTCTCAGTATGTACCATTGGGAAATAAATATAAAAGAAACAAATTAAAACCAATGTGGCTTAGTAGAGACGTAAAACAAGAGATTAATAATAAGAAAAGGTCATTTAAAGCATTTAAATCTGACAAATCAGATGCATCTTATAAAAGATATAAGGAAACAAATAATGCGTGCAAAAAGGCAATTAGACTTGCTAAACTTCAAAATGAAAAAATGATAGCTAAAGAGAGCAAAACCAGCCCCAAAGCATTTTTTAAGTACATAAATTCTAAAAACCCCAAAAATGAAAGTGTATGTACACTAAAAACTGAAACGGGGGTGTTAATTAATGAAGACCAGGAAAAGGCAGGAATTTTAAATAACTATTTCTCCTCCGTATATATTAAGGAAGAACCCATGGCAATAGATGTGCAAATGATTGCTACTAAAAACTTGCAGAATAATTGTAATTGGTTAACTCAAGACAAGGTGCTGCAGCAACTAAAGAAAGTTAATATAAATAGAAGCTCCAGGGCCTGGCGGTATCCATCCACGTGTACTTAAGGAACTAAGTGTATAAATAAGTGAACCTCTGTTTTTAATCTTTCAAGATTCTTTTGTTTCAGGAAGTGTTCCAGAGGATTGGAGGAAGGCAGATGTGGTCCCTGTATTCAAAAAGGGTTCAAAATCCTTGCCTGGAAATAATAGACCTGTGAGCTTAACTTCTGTGGCAGGGAAAATATTTGAAAGGTTATTAAGGGATAATATTCAAGAATTCCTTGAGAAGAACATGGTTATCAGCAAAAATCAGCACGGTTTTATGAAGCACAGGTCATGTCAAACTAACTTGATTGCGTTCTACGAAGAAGTAAGTAGAAGTATAGATCAGGGTGTTGCCGTGGATGTGATCTATTTGGATTTTGCCAAGGCATTTGATACAGTTTCACACAATAGATTAGTGTTCAAACTCAAGAAAATCGGTCTAGATGAAAATGCTTGTTCTTGGGTAGAACATTGGCTTAAAACCAGAGTACAAAGAGTTGTCATTAATGGTAAATTTTCAAGCTGGACAGAGGTGGCAAGTGGTGTCCCTCGGGGGTATGTTCTGGGACCCCTTCTATTTAACATGAATATAAATGATCTTGAAGACAGCACTGAAAGTCATGTTTCAGTGTTTGCAGATGACACAAAACTTTGTAAAATAATACAATGTGAGCAAGATATTACTTTACTGCAGAGGGATTTAGATAGACTGGGGGACTGGGCACTCAAATGGCAGATGAAATTTAATGTTGAAAAATGCAAAGTTATGCACTTCGGTGTAAAGAATACACAAGCAACGTATACCCTTAATGGAAGCGAATTAGGGATAACAACACACGAAAAGGACTTGGGAATTGTTATAGACAACAAACTATGCAACAATGTGCAATGTCAATCAGCAGTGGCCAAGGCCAGTAAGGTATTGTCATGTATTAAAAAGGGCATTCATTCACGGGACGAGAATATCATTTTGCCTCTTTATAAATCACTTGTAAGACCACATATTGAATATGATGTGCAATTTTGGGCACCTGTTCTAAAGAGGGATATTATGGCACTAGAAAAAGTGCAGCGGCAGGCTACAAAATCAATAAAAGGAATGGAACATATCAGCTATGAAGAAAGGTTAACAAATTTAAACATATTTAGTTTAGAAAAACGTCACCTGAGAGGGGATATGATAACATTATACAAATATATTCAGGGCCAATACAAACCATTGTGTGGAAATCTATTCACAAACCGGACTTTACATAGGACACGAGGCCATGCATTTAGACTGGAAGAAAGAAGATTTTGTCTAAGGCAAAGGAAAGGTTTTTTTACTGTAAGAACAATCAGGATGTGGAATTCTCTGCCTGAAGAAGTGGTTTTATCGGAGTCCGTACAGATGTTCAAACAGTTACTAGATGCATACTTGCAAAAACAGAATATTCAAGGATATAATCTTTCAATGTAAGGTAATAACTGCTTGATCCAATGATAAATCTGACTGCCATTCTGGGGTCAAGAAGGAATTTTTTTCCTAGCTTGTTGCAAAATTGTGCTTCAAACTGTTTTTTTTTGCCTTCTTTTGGATCAACAGCAAAAAACAAATGTGAGGAAGGCTGAACTTGATGGACGCAAGTCTCTTTTCAGCGATGTAACTGTGTAACTATGTAACTATGAAGAAACGCAAGTATATTTCGTTAATAAAGAAAATGTAACATTTTTTAGCCACAACAGTTGCCATGGAATAGTATAGCTACACTAAATCAGAGTTAGAAGAACGTCAGCCACATGATTATGGATTGAGATAGGCAGGCCCAGTTAGCCTTGATGAGTGGAAGGCCTTTAGGGACCAGGACTACTCTCCTACCCAGTGTAGACACTAGTTTCCATAAAACAAACTTCCCTCCCCATTCCCCCCGGTGCTGCACACAAAGTAAGGAGCCTATGACCTCTGCTAGGACACTCCGGATGGTGGGTGGGCCAGAGAGGACTTCGGGATACGAACACTTATGCCCCTAGACAGCTTTCCCTCATGTTTTGTTCATATTTCTCTATACGTCACAAGGTTTTGCCAAGTTATCATGGTTTTCATGGTTGGCCACAATGTGGTATTTTTGAATAGTCAGACAAGACTCGGTTACCCCTTACTCGTGAGATGCACAAAAAGGGGGCCGCAGCACACACCCCAAAGGCGCCTGGCACGTACCAAGATCATTTTGTTGCCCTTTTATTTTTTTTGTTGCACCTCCACCTCTCTCTCTGCGACTTCCTCACTACCTTTCCTTTCCCTTTCATATCTACCTGCTCATCCCTTCACCCAGGATCCTTCCCCGGGCAGGAGGGAGGTGGGGACTCGGTGCTCGGGGCCCCAGTGGCATGAACGTTTGCGTGCAGTTACCCAGCCAAACTGGCCTTGGTGCCCAACAACTGACACACTTTTGGATCTACAAACTGGTGGACCGCCTAGTTCCCCACAATGTCTCGACAAGTCATATCTCTCAATGTCTAGGGGCTTAACGCACCCAAAAAATGTAGGCTTCTATTCCAGGAGCTCAAAAGACTAAACTCTGATATAGCCTTCTTACAAGAAACGCACTTGCCCCAAGGCGTTCACGTGGCACTGAAAGATCACGTCTATAGCTCAGTCTACGAAGCCCCCGGAAACGGAATGGCATGGCCATTCTAATCTATAACAGATGCCCATGTCAGGCGAAACAGGCCGTCTCAGACCCGGGGGGAAGATATCTCATACTTTCTTGCACCCTCTACTCCCATACTACCCACCTCATTTATGTATACGCTCCAAATGATCCAAACCCAACCTTCTGGGACAAGCTAACTAAATTCATTAAGACCCTCCCCCATGGCCTAGAGATAACAGGGGGAGATTTCAACGCCACCCCAAGCCCGGCCATAGATAAGAGTACAACACCTGGACAGGCGCGATCCTATCGTAGGGGCTCCCAGGATAAACTGCTCAATCTCTTAATTAAATGCACTGGACTAATAGACATATGGAGAGCTCATCACCCAGGCAAAATCGACTACACATTCTATTCAGCACCCCACCACCCCAGTATGGGCGGCCCATAAAGCAGTCATTCGAGGGACCTTAATGAAACTGTCAACCCTTAAAAAGAAACAGAAAATGCAGAAACTACACAACGTCCTCCGCACAGCAGAACAACGGCACAAAAACAACCCCACACAACACAGCACACAAAAGCTACTTAGCCTGGGCCTCGCAGTTAAAAACACATTAGTGGACGACACTGCCAGATCCATCACCTGGACTAGAAGGACCTATTATGAAAAGGCCAATAAGATGGATTCTCTGATGGCCAGGACACTCAGACCCAGACAGAGACACCCACACATTACAAGAATTAAAGACGAACAAGGTCATATAAACAATTCTCCATCCGACCACATTAAACCACATTAGGCAAAACACCAAATGACATCTGCTGGAGGGTCATACATGCACATGTGGGCAAAGTCCTTCTGGCAAAAAAAAATGGGAGGCCACATAGCACAAATTTTCCAATGCAACATTGAGATAGACCCTTGGGTCTTCTTACTCTCTAGGACTAGAGATGACTGGATGAAACCGGAACAGTGACTATTACACAAACTCACGTTGGTGGCCAGATTAGCCCTAGCACAAAACTAGCTCAAACAAGATGCGCCACCCATGTCCTTAGTTATACAGTCATGTACAAATTGACTGCCATCACGTGAGGATCCCTAAAAAGTTCAAAAAGGTGTGGGAGCCATGGTTACAAAGTGACTTAAGCGACTGAAGTGGAAGTGGAGTGGGCGGGTGTGGCCACCCCTCCTACACGGGGGACCCCCCCCCTTCCCCCTTCTTGCTTAGCAGGACACTGTGGCCGGGGGCATCGTGCCCGGCCCCTGCCTCTCCCACCACCCTCGACTCTTCTACCCTCAATCACTTTCTGCTATTCTGGGGCTTAATTATTTTTTTTGTAAGAAAATGTGTATTTCTTTGTAAGAAAAGTAGGTAGATGTTGTTGAGTTGGTCGTTTAAAAAGTAGACCATGACACTAAAAAGTGTGAGCACCCCTGACTTAAGTGTTAGAAGGTAGAGCTCTGTATCCATAACCTTCAAATAATCAGGATTACATCATGGGATACACTGCTTTACCTAATGTCATTAAAAGAGGGAACCATATTGAAAGTGCATTTACCGTGGTAATGAAATGCATTATAATAAATGAAGCTATATTCTGCCATTGTCAGTGTTACTATCATGACACGTGATCTTTAAAAATAGACATTTTAAAGTGAATCTCACCCTCACAGAAATGTTAATTTCTGTTAGAATCCATCCAAAGATAGGAGCTCTGAAAGGGTTATTTTCTGCTTGCTGAAAAGTTAATCAGATGAACATCTTTTTTCATACAGACTTTGAATCACCGAATGAACAATTTCACAAATTAGGATTGATGAAGTATGTCAACCACTGAAAAAAATTGCACCTTTTAGATTTAACATTTACCCAACAAAGCAGAAAAAAACATCTGCAAAAGGTATGTGTCTGGTCTCTTCGGTGATATGTTTTTATAATTACACACTTATGCACTACATTAAAAAATCCCAAATTATGAAGAGAATGTAATAATTCTATATTTAGGTTCTGTTTTATTAACAGATGTTGAACATATATTTATATTGGTAAAAGTTTGAATTCATTGTGTCTTATATCACATGTTAATACCAGAACATATACATATATACACATCATATACATATATACACATCATATACATACATACACATCATATACATATATACACACACATACACACACATCCTATACATTAATATATATATTATGTAGCTACAACCTCACTGGACACCATCATAGAAAACCTCTCTTTTAAGTGTAAGAGTAGAACGTTTGGTATGTCATACCTAACTGACTGACAGTATGAGACAATAGTAAGAGATTAGATAAACTTAAAACACATAATATAAACAAAGATCACTGCAGAAAGAACAAAGGTATTATAATTTAGGTGTACGGAGGTCGTCTGCTGCATTCATCCGACACTACGGGTCGGCCACGTAGCAAAAAGCAATTGTCCAGGATTCAGCCTATACCGCATGGGTGGAGCAGTTGCGGTCCGAGTCCGTATTCAGATGAGGCACCGCATGAAGAGCAGCCCCAGCCCAAGAGGCAACACTGCAGTACCTTTTGCCTTCAGGGTCAGGACCTTTTGCCTTCAGGGCTCCACTCTCACTGACAGTCCCACAGAGTTGTTGGCGGCTGAGGGACATAAGGTCCATCTTGGCTCATGGCCCAGAGGCAGTGCCATGTATTGGGACTCAGCTGGGGGTTTCCACCGATGCAGACGGGGTAAGAGATTGCTGCTGTTGGGCCTTAATCTTGGCACAAAAGGCGGCGCAGACCTCATTAAACGCTATTTGGAATCTGATCTCCCACAATGGCAAGGTAGCTTCATTATGTATGGAATCATTAGGCTGTGCCCGTAACCGAGTTTATGGCTCATAAGATAAGAATTTTCACTCACCTTATTCCAGCCCCAGGGTCCCTTATGACTGCCTCACTCTCTGTCTCTTCCTACATCATTCCCCAGGGGGGCACCTAATGTGCATTGAGTGCTGTGCACGCATTAGACCCTCCTCATAAGAAATCATTAAAATAATGCTATCCTTTGGGGGATTTAAAGACGCTGGATGTAGTCGTGCACAGTGAGGATGTCCAGCGACATTGGTGGACAGCCACTAGGGGCAGTCTAAAACCTGCAATATAAAGGTTCTCTAAATTGTAATATTTTCATCTGCAGGGTTAAGGGGACAGGGACAGTGCACCCAGATCACTTCAATGAGATGAAGTGGTTTGGGTGCCTATAGTGTTCTTTAACAGTAAAATACAACAACACCACATATATTTTTATTTTTATTGTCTCAAAGGCAACATAACCAATCTGGCGAATTTCAATGTGAATAAACTGAAAAATGTAACACGCTATATTTGACTCTGTACCTTCCCAAAACACCATAAAACCTGTACATAGGGGGTACTGTTTTACATGCAAGACATCACTGAATACAAATATAATATACAAATATAATATACACAAATGTGTATTTTATTGCAGTAAAAGCAAACAGTATTATGACATTCACAGTTAGAATGTCACGTAAAACTAAAAAAAAAAAAAATCTTATTTTTCCCCATTTTTTAAAATATTTTATTCATATTAAATTATGTTTCATACCTAAATATTTGATGTTAAAAGAAAGTCTTTTTTCCCCCTGAATCAAATGATATATAATAGGTGTGGGTGCACTTAATATAAAAGAGGCGAATTATGCCTGAACAGACATATAGCGCAAATTCCAGTTTTTGTTTACGTTTTGTTTTGATCACAACGTGTACATTTGGCTCAGTCCTTAAGGGGTTAAAGGGAAACTATAGTGCCAGGGAGTTATATAGTGTCCCCCTCACTCATGCAACCCCCCATCCTCATCTGCAGCGCAGAAATGGTTAAAAACCCTTCTGTCACTTACCTGAATCCAGCGCCGGAGTCCCTCCTCAGCTCCTCCTCCCCGATGTTGGGGGCCGAATGCGCATGCACAGCTAATGCTGAATGTCCTCACGCTGACGTCCAGCGTCAGTTCTGCGACTAAAAGCCACCAAACGACCTGGAAGCACCTTAGTGTCTGTCTGGTAGATAGCCTCTAGAGGTGGAGTTAACCCTGCAAGGTAATTACAATTGCAGGGTTTAGCAGATAGGGGCACTGCACTAAGACCACCTTAATGAGCTGAAGTGGTCTGGGTGAATATAGTATCCCTTTAAACTAAAGCTGTTTTGGTGTCTATCATGTTCCTTTAATACATAATAAGATTTACATTATATAATTTTGATTCAGTTACCCATAGAGTTCAATTTCCTCCAAATCAAACTATGACCTACTTTGAAGAGTGAGGATTGGAAGCTATCTTACCAGTGGTTCATCTGGCACCCCTTGTCTGTTGGTTTAAGACAGGGTTGTGCAAACAGTAGTTCCCCAGAATTTGTAAAACAGCAACTTCCATGGTGCTTTGACGTTCTATCGGCTGGCAAAGCATTTCGGCAGTTGTAGTTTTAAGAAATTCCTCAGCCAATACGTAGTCTATACAGCTTTCTATGGGAGAAATGGATGGAAAAGGCACTGAAACCATGGATGAGAACAGGTAATGCAAGTGAATGTAAGTCTACTGCTTCACTTATATTAGTGTTTCCCGTTCAACTGTTCAAGTCAATGAGACTCTGGGTTCCATTGCACGCTCAGTGCCCTCATTCATTTTTAATACTAACAACTGAGCAGGGGCTTCTGGGAAAAACTGCATTAAAAGCCAGTTTTTATTTGGTGCCTGCAGAACTCTTCAACTGCATCTATATTACCTTATTTTTCAATCCGAACCCGTGTCTTGCTCTGAATGTGAAAAATGTGTTTGAAAAATGGGAATTTCAAAGAATTCTCCAACTCAGATACACCTTCATTGTTTGGTTATTTCATCCTAAATTTTAATGTGGCATTCAGTTCACTGCAGCTGGATGTCTAGTGAGTAAACGTCCCAAATTGCAGTTTATTAACCTAAAATAGTCCCTTTTATAGGATTAATCATAAGAATACTGATATCTGATAATCTCTCATACCAAACATTCGTCACCAACGTCACTTCTATTAATTTGTCCTGTAATTTTAAATACTGCATAATATGCCAACATATGCCCAGGTGACCATAATTTATGCACATTTAAAGGAGAATCACGGACTGAATTTACAAACTGCTCATCTTAGATATAAAAAAAAAAAAAAAAAGTAACAATGTGTTCAACAAAAAGATAACACCATTGGCATATTTGTACACACCTCCGCATCAGACAGCTGCTAATTAACAATTAGTAATCATTAAAATCATTACTCAATGGGAAAAAAACAACAAAATATGGCATCTCTTTGATTTTATTTTAAGGTAACAAATTACCTATATGGGTTCTGTATGATAAATCATTTCTGAATGATATAATGATACATCACATTTACAATGTAAACATTTATTGGGGGGAAAAGGAGTAGATCCCAACTCTACAACTTTTAAACTCTTTGCTGTTGTTTGTTAATGGCTGCAATAAGGGAAATGATCATATAATTAATTTATTGCATATTGAGAACAAAAAGAAACCTTCAGTTTCCCCAGTTGCCCATATTTGCTGATTCAGAGCCACAACATACCACTAGTACAAAATAAAACAAAACAGACAATAAAAAAAACATATTCTCGGGGGTTGTGGGCTGACCGCCATGCCGAGTGGATGCAGCGGGCGAATGCTCCTGGCAAATCTTGTCCTTTTGAGACTTAGGGTACCACAAACTCAATTAAACACTTGCAAAATGCTGGTACCCAAGCCTGGTATCTTGTGGGCACCGTCTACTCCTGGTCCATCTACGCTTGCAGTGGCCTCATGTTAGCCCTCAGTGGGGCTCTGCAGCCGAGTCTTCATGGGTCGTTCTGCTTACTCCAGGGCCCCGTACTCTCCCCCTTTGGACCGATGGGAGTTATCCCGGTCCCCACCAAGCCTGGCCGAAAGCAGTGGGGAAGTAATGCATGAGGCGCAGGCTTCGACCTGCACATGGGAGGTAGCCTTTGAGAGGGTGTTCAGCGCCATTTGCAAACACTTCTGGAGTGACCTATAGACACAACAGAAGCCGTCTACCCTGCCATAGCTCAGAGCCAGAACCTTCAGACAGAGACACCCTCCCAGATAGGAACACTTCACACCGTCCACATACCCGGGGGATATGCCTCCACTCGGTGCCTCAAGGCTTCACCCTAGTTGTGAGAAGAGAGGTCTGTGGACTGTGGGACATGTTTCCTGCTGGGGCTGGAGGGATGAGGTGCAATGCAACTCACATGGAGACTCACAGACAGATTCTCACCCTTTACTGAAGGCAAGAGAAGCCAAGGCAACTAAAACTTGACTGCCTGTTACTCCCCTGACTCTTGGCCCTTATATTTACCTGTCCACCCCCACACCCCCTCTCTCTCTACTCATTGTTGCACCCCTATTTTCCTTTTCTCCATTTTTTCCCTTCATTTAATATATTTAACAGATATGTATCTGTGAGGTGTGAAAAATAAAATTAAACATAGAAATCCACTCTTTTTCTAGGAATTGACTCACTATTATAAGCTGTGCTCACCAAATTTTAACTTCTCATTTTTTTAAGTTTATTACATTTAATGAAACTAACATTGTGCCAGTCATGACAAATATATCTTAATCTTAAATTATAAAGAATTTAATTTTATCTCTACATGGTGTTGACAGAATTGCTAAAAAATGTCTAAATACCTCAAAAAATCAGAGGTAAAATCAGAAGTAAAAAAGTCCTTTCCCCCTCAGTCTGTTCAGTCTGTGCAGAAACTGTGTCAATCAAAACAGAGATAAGAAGGCTGTACACTGCATATCTGTTATCAGGGAAACTCTCTTTGGGTGTCTCTCTTACTTTAATTTAGTCTAAGGGAAAGCAACACCTGAAAGAGGAGGTAAGGAGAAGGGGCAGGCTCAGAGTGAGAAATGCACCAGCAGCAGTGGAGAGAAATAGCCAGAAAGATTAATGCAGCAGCTTTGGACTGGCAATATGAGAATGGAGAGATAGAACAGGTAAGTTTGCAAAGCCAACATGAAGTGTAGGGGACCTTTAACCTGTTACGGGAAGCAAGTCTGTGCTTTTCAAACTGGGGTATGTAGGAGAGGTATATCTTACTGCAAGTGTAACATCCACTGAAAACATGATTGATGCTCTCACCAGGAGACAGTGGAAATTGAAATAAATTAAAATATAAGCATATCTGGCCAACTGCTGTTTAACCTAAATTTGCCTGCAGCTGTGATTAATCTTTGAGAACTTTCAGCAGCAGGCAAGTTAAGTAAGAGGTATAACCTTTCTCAAATGGTCTGACTACTTAAAATGGGGGCACCAAGGGCATTCCTGGTACCATAACCACTAAAATACACTGTGGTGGTTATGGTGCTTGGAGTGTTCCTTTAATTATAGGTCTAGAGATTCTGAAATGTAATTTTCTGCAGGAGGTAGAAATGTTTCTGTAACGTATATATAGTTCAGAGTCTATGTTTGGTATTTTATACAATAGACTAAAAATAAGAATCAATATAATATATAAACTGGAGGAATACATTACATTTTCCTTGGTTGGATTCTGCAATTATATTCAGAATGGATATATCTGATGCAGAAATGAATGTTATTTAAACTAATGGTCAGTAATTCAATATACACACATTATACAGAAAATACTGAGGTCTAATGCTCTCAGCATGTGCTATAATAAGGCTGCAAGAAAATTGCCATTATTGATGACGAGAAGCAAAAAGGTGACTCAAAAAAAGACTAGATGCTTGCAGGAGCTAGAGACAGGGCAAGAAGAACATGTGGTGTCCATTTTCTCCAGAACAACGTAACATGTTTTTTTCCTCTTGATTCCATGATAAAATGTCAAGGTAGCGTGGCCAGCGTAAAACTGGCTCATATCACCGTAGAATCACGCTCTTTTTCACTGACAGTATTCTCACAAGCGATTGGTGTACAGACTTGCACAAGGCACACTATTTGTGCTGCAGCTAAATAGTGATTATGGCAAAATAAGTGGTTGTCAACTAGTAATAACTGTTTTTTTATGTTGATTACATAATAAAGCAAGTCACTTTCCGGTATCCAGACAAACACACAGATACACTCACAGACACATTTATATTCCCAGACATACAAACACGCATACAGAGATGATTTGACGACACAAACACACAGGCTCACACACACATACATATTGTACTAGATATACACATTCCCAGACATACACTGCCGCATACGGGTAAACAATGACACAATTAAACTAACAAAATGCACATTTTAGCCATTGCATACACCTATTTGTGGGCTGTAAGATGGTGCTGCGAGGTCTCGTAACAAATAGGCTGATCAAGGTTTCCAGCTCCCTCTCAGCATGGCTCTGTGTGTGAAATGGAATGACACTATATTACATCACATCCTCGTGGAGTAGATCTTCCATACATGGGGTCAGGCTGTTCCAGTCTGCTCCTTGTGGCTGCTAAATGCAGTCTAGTTTTTGGAAGATATGTTTATTTCCTCTGTTGGACCAGAGTATGGCCTTTAATTGAATCCCCTGATGGTGGCCCAGCTCTTCCCCTCCCTTTCCTTCTCTCCTTTCTGCACCATATCCTCTGATTCTTCATCTGTTTTTTTTTTTATCTTCATCTTTCAGTTTTTCTTAAAAGATAATTCAGCTATAAACCTCGATTACATTCCAGCCAATCATGTTTATTGTCAGTTTTTTGCTGCTAATAAGCCATTTAACGTTTGGATAGATTTAAATTCAGCAGTTAAAGGCTTATCTGGAGCCATAAAATATCGGCTTGCATATCGATTCCGAAGCCTATATTTCACATTGATTTAATCTGGTGATTAAATTTCATTCAATGACTGCATAGACACTGTTAAACGCAGGGCCGATGCTACCATTAGGCGAATAAGGCATTTGCCTGGGGCGCTGGCATCTGGGAGGTTTCCCGGTGGGCTGCCCTGCTCCTGTCTGGGGCTGGTGTAGTGGGCGAGCGGCTCCTTAGCCACCCCCCAGCAAAGTCATTCAGCTGCTGGGCTCTCTGTCTCCGCTTGCCTGCTCGGGAAGCGGGATATGCTGTAGCCCCAGCACCCAAGCAGAGCACTCGGCTTCCTGCAGGCAGGGGAAACCGGGATATGACCAGATAGCCCAGCTGCCCCCTACCTGTGAACACCGGAAGTTCTCTGAGGGGAACAGGAAGCAGCTGGTGTACACAGTGCATGGCTCTCCTGCTCCCCCCACCAGGAACAACAGCAGCTACCTACAGGCTGGGCCCCTCTCCTCCATTCACAGCACTTGTGAATGATCCATCTGAAGGTAAGTGGAACTGATCATGAGTATGATTGCATGATGGTAAACTGGTCTGTGTGTATTGAATTGCTGTGTTTGTGTGTGTAAATAAAGTGTGACTATATGTAAAGTGGTGTGAATTTGTGCTTGAGTGACAGTGTGTGTGTTAGTGAGAGTGTGTAAGTGGCACTGTGAATGTCACCGACTGTGTGTGTGTAAGTGAATGTCAGTCACAGTGTGTGTGTGTGTGTAAGTGACACTTTGTCAGTGAGAGTGTGTGTTAGTGAGTGTGTACATGACACTTTATGTCAGTGAGAGTGTGTGTTAGTGAGAGTGTGTGTGTAACTGACACTGTAGGTCAGTGAGAGTGTGTATGTTAGTGAGAATGTGTGCTAGTGTGTGACCATGTAAATAGATACTTATATATTAAATTATATCTATAATATATATTAGAATTCTATATTAAACTGAAAAAAATGTTAACAGTAACATGAATTAAATCCCAACATTATTACAAAGGAAATACCACCAAATACATTGAAACAGAGTGTGTGGATTTATGTATTAGGCAGTATGTGTCGATTGATGTGTGCATTAGGCAGTACGTGTGTATTGATCTATGCATTAGGCAGTATGAGTGTATGAATTTACATATTGGGTGGTGTGTGTGTGTGTGTGTGTATTTATGTATTGGGCTGTGTGTGTGTGTGTGTGTGTGTGTATTTATGTATTGGGCTGTGTGCGTGTGTGTGTGTGTATTTATGTATTGGGCTGTGTGTGTGTGTGTGTGTATTTATGTATTGGGCTGTGTGTGTGTGTGTGTGTGTGTGGATTTATGTATTGGGCTGTGTGTGTGTGTATTTATGTATTGGGCTGTGTGCGTATGGTTGATTGCATGTAATAGGCAGTCTTTGTGTGTGAATGGATGGATGTATTAGGCAGTGTGTATATATGGATGCATACGGTGGATGTGTGTGTTTTCTTCCCTAACCCTCTCTTCATTGCAATTCAAAATTTAGTTAATAAACCTGTGAGAGAATGTAGTCGCCTTCAAGAAGGGGCGGCAAATTGGATTGTTGCCTAGGGTGGGAGAATCCTTGCACCGGCCCTGGTTAAACAGGCCAATCGAACTCAAAAGCTAAAAGCTGCAGACACTTTTTTTTACTATTTGGCTGCAGAAAGCACTAGCAGCCAGTGGGAAAATATTTATAAAAATCCTGTGGGGGTCAATACAATCCCCTTATTAGTGTAAGGGAGGTGTTTAATCTCCCTTATACCCCCAAACACGATGATGCCCCCACCACATGCCTTTTTTGTTTATGTACGAGTCCCCACCCAATACATGGAGGGAAGCATAGTGCTTAACAGTGATAATGTGGGCGATGGCAATAGCTCCCCGGTTCCTAGTCTTTTAGTTCAGCTAGTCTTTTAGTACAGTTAGTTCAGCTAGTCTTTTATTACTGTTTAGTGGACATGTCCCTACACATAGCAACACCTCCCTTGCACTAATATGCAGGTCATATTAACCCCCATATGCCTTTTTTAATTTATTTTTAATTACTAACAGCTTTAGTCATTAAATAGGCTGATAAACATTCTTACGCAGCACATTGTTGGTGGTTTTATTTCAAACAGCAAACCCATTTATCAAATCTGGCAGCTTGAATTTTGGATAACTTTCAATTCAATCTGAAACTGGGGGCGGGGGGAAATCATCCAAGAACAGTCAATATCGATCAAATGTTTTTGACTGAAAGAACTAAAGGCCATAGTTTATTATAAAGTAATAAAAATTTTTTTAAAAAGTCCTTCAGTTCTGGCTGTTAAATAGTAAGGCAATATTTATGGAAAATAAACATGAAAGTAAATACAAGCATTTCTCTCTTTATGAACTCCTGCCTTTATGAACTTTTTTCTAGGTGAGCCGCCATTTTGTTTCACTGCCATTTTGTGTCAGCGGTCTGGGGATCAGGACATAGGGGCGTACTTTAAAGCACAAACAAGAAGAGAAGAAGAATTTGTGGCCAGGAGTAGACAAGTAGAGAGAAGATGATCAGGAATGCAGTCCCAGTAGATAAAGGTAAGTCTAAAAAACGGGTTTACACTGTACTGTAGTCTTCCTGCGCTTTCACGAGCATACCTGTAATATTATTGCCCTGTGTACTATTGAGTAGAGTTTGGACTTGATTTGTCTGTGTGTCTGACATTGCTGTCTGTATGTGTGTGTAACATTGCTGTCTGTGTGTGTGTCTGACATTGCTGTCTGTATGTGTGTGTAACATTGCTGCCTGTGTGTGTGTCTGACATTGCTCTCTGTATGTGTGTCTGACATTGCTCTCTGTGTGTGTGTGACATTGCTGTCTGTGTGTGTGTCTGACATTTCTGTGTGTGTGTGTGTGTGTGACATTGTTGTCTGTGTGTGTGTCTGACATTGCTGTCTGTATGTGTGTGTAACATTGCTGTCTGTGTGTGTGTCTGACATTGCTCTCTGTATGTGTGTCTGACATTGCTCTCTGTGTGTGTGTGACATTGCTGTCTGTGTGTGTGTCTGACATTTCTGTGTGTGTGTGTGTGTGTGACATTGCTGTCTGTGTGTGTGTCTGACATTGATGTCTGTATGTGTGTGTAACATTGCTGTCTGTGTGTGTGTCTGACATTGCTCTCTGTATGTGTGTCTGGCATTGATCTCTGTGTGTGTGTCTGACATTGTTCTCTGTGTGTGTGTGACATTGCTGTCTGTGTGTGTGTCTGACATTGCTGTCTGTGTGTGTGTCTGACATTGCTGTCTGTATGTGTGTGTAACATTGCTGTCTGTGTGTGTGTCTGACATTGCTCTCTGTATGTGTGTCTGACATTGCTCTCTCTGTGTGTGTGACACTGCTGTCTGTGTGTCTGACATTGCTGTCTGTATGTGTGTGTAACATTGCTGTATGTGTGTGTGTCTGACATTGCTGTCTGTATGTGTGTGTAACATTGCTCTCTGTATGTGTGTCTGACATTGCTCTCTGTGTGTGTGTCTGACATTGCTCTCTGTGTGTGTGTGACATTGCTGTCTGTGTGTGTCTGACATTTCTGTGTGTGTGTGTGTGACATTGCTGTCTGTGTGTGTGTCTGACATTGCTGTCTGTATGTGTGTGTGACATTGCTGTCTGTGTGTGTGTCTGACATTTCTGTGTGTATGTGTGTGTGTGTGTGTGTGACATTGCTGTGTGTGTGTCTGACATTGCTGTCTGTATGTATGTCTGACATTGCTGTGTGTGTGTGTGTGTGACATTGCTGTCTGTGTGTGCGTCTGACATTGCTCTCTGTGTGTGTGTCTGACATTTCTGTGTGTATGTGTGTGTGTGTGACATTGCTGTCTGTATGTGTGTGTGACATTGCTGTGTGTGTGTGTGTGTCTGACATTGCTGTCTGTGTGTGTGTGTGTGACATTGCTGTGTGTGTGACATTGCTGTCTGTATGTGTGTCTGACAGTGTGTGTTTGCCATTGTGCCATGTTTTGTCAGGCAGCACCAGAGAGGAGCACGAGGAGGACTGAAAAGCCTAAGGAAAGGGGTAGAAGGAAGAGAGTGCGAGACCTGTAAAAATATAAGGAGTAAAGAAAAGTGCTAAAAAAGAGATGAAAGCTTGAAAGTAAGAGAGGAGAAGGAGGAGACTTTGAAAGAGGTGTAAAAAATAAACAAAGGAAAAGAAAAGTGATAAAAGCGAGGGGGGAAGTTGATAAAGAAGAAAGTGAAGGAGGAGAAGGGCTTATGAGAGGTGTAAACAGGTGGACTGTGTGGTGACCCATTCAACAAGTGCAGCATGTCTCTTGATTGAGGACGATGATGACTGATGATAATTTGATGAAGCTTTCAATATGGTATTAATGTTCCTACAACATATATGTAATTGCTCTGCTTTCATTTTGTATTTGTACGTAATAATTTAGGTTTTCAATGGTAAAATGTGTTGGTCAGGAACAGAACCCATGGCTATTACATCGTGTCTATGGGAAATTAGCTTTCACTTTATGAACTAGGCCTCGGAACCAATTAGTTCGTGAAGTCGGGAACTACCTGAATACAGAAGGAATCACTACGTGTAAAGAAAAACGAAGCCAAACAAGGCATTTATTGTTTTATCTATATCACACTATTTTGTGCATGCTTTTCTCTTAGATATTCACTATTTTATCAGGTTGTATTTTGTATTTTATATTGCTTATTTACCTATTTCACAGAACTTTCCTTTTTTTAAATATATTTATCACTTATGTGTGTAGATATATAATCGGTTTTTCTAATTTTGATTTAACTATTTATGGAGAGCTTACATTTGTATCCTTATAATAATAATTTTGTTTTAAAAAAAGTAGATTTTTTATAAAGCTTTAATTCAGAATCCTTACTTTCTTAATCAATACAGAAAGAAAGTCTTCCTGCGCTTTCACGGGCATACCTGTAATATTATTGCCCTGTGTACTATTGAGTAGAGTTTGGACTTGATTTGTCTGTGTCTAACATTGCTGTCTGTATGTGTGTGTAACATTGCTGTCTGTGTGTGTGTCTGACATTGCTGTCTGTATGTGTGTGTAACATTGCTCTCTGTGTGTGTGTGACATTGCTGTCTGTGTGTGTGTCTGACATTTCTGTGTGTGTGTGTGACATTGCTGTCTGTGTGTGTGTCTGACATTTCTGTGTGTGTGTGACATTGCTGTCTGTGTGTGTGTCTGACATTGCTGTCTGTATGTGTGTGTAACATTGCTGTCTGTATGTGTGTCTGACATTGCTCTCTGTGTGTGTGTCTGACATTGCTCTCTGTGTGTGTGTGACATTGCTGTCTGTGTGTGTGTCTGACATTTCTGTGTGTGTGTGTGTGACATTGCTGTCTGTGTGTGTGTCTGACATTGCTGTCTGTGTGTGTGTGTAACATTGCTGTCTGTGTGTGTGTCTGACATTGCTCTCTGTATGTGTGTCTGACATTGATCTCTGTGTGTGTGTCTGACATTGATCTCTGTGTGTGTGACATTGCTGTCTGTGTGTGTGTGACATTTCTGTGTGTGTGTGTGACATTGCTGTGTGTGTGTCTGACATTGCTGTCTGTATGTGTGTGTAACATTGCTGTATGTGTGTGTGTCTGACATTGCTCTCTGTATGTGTGTCTGACATTGCTCTCTGTATGTGTGTCTGACATTGCTCTCTGTGTGTGTGTGACACTGCTGTCTGTGTGTCTGACATTGCTGTCTGTGTGTGTGTCTGACATTGCTGTCTGTATGTGTGTGTAACATTGCTGTCTGTATGTGTGTCTGACATTGCTCTCTGTGTGTGTGTCTGACATTGCTCTCTGTGTGTGTGTGACATTGCTGTCTGTGTGTGTGTCTGACATTTCTGTGTGTGTGTGTGTGACATTGCTGTCTGTGTGTGTGTCTGACATTGCTGTCTGTATGTGTGTGTAACATTGCTGTCTGTGTGTGTGTCTGACATTGCTCTCTGTATGTGTGTCTGACATTGATCTCTGTGTGTGTGTCTGACATTGATCTCTGTGTGTGTGACATTGCTGTCTGTGTGTGTGTGACATTTCTGTGTGTGTGTGTGACATTGCTGTGTGTGTGTCTGACATTGCTGTCTGTATGTGTGTGTAACATTGCTGTATGTGTGTGTGTCTGACATTGCTCTCTGTATGTGTGTCTGACATTGCTCTCTGTGTGTGTGTGACACTGCTGTCTGTGTGTCTGACATTGCTGTCTGTATGTGTGTGTAACATTGCTGTATGTGTGTGTGTCTGACATTGCTGTCTGTATGTGTGTGTAACATTGCTGTCTGTGTGTGTGTCTGACATTGCTCTCTGTGTGTGTGTCTGACATTGCTCTCTGTGTGTGTGTGACATTGCTGTCCGTGTGTGTGTCTGACATTTCTGTGTGTGTGTGTGACATTGCTGTCTGTGTGTGTGTCTGACATTGCTGTCTGTATGTGTGTGTAACATTGCTGTCTCTGTGTGTGTGACATTGCTGTCTGTGTGTGTGTCTGACATTTCTGTGTGTATGTGTGTGTGTGTGTGTGACATTGCTGTGTGTGTGTCTGACATTGCTGTCTGTATGTATGTCTGACATTGCTGTGTGTGTGTGTGACATTGCTGTCTGTGTGTGCGTCTGACATTGCTCTCTGTATGTGTGTCTGACATCGTTGTGTGTGTGTGTGTGACATTGCTGTCTGTGTGTGTGTGTGACATTGCTGTGTGTGTGTGACATTGCTGTCTGTATGTGTGTGTGACATTGCTGTGTGTGTGTGTGTGTCTGACATTGCTGTCTGTGTGTGTGTGTGACATTGCTGTGTGTGTGACATTGCTGTCTGTATGTGTGTCTGACAGTGTGTGTTTGCCATTGTGCCATGTTTTGTCAGGCAGCACCAGAGAGGAGCACGAGGAGGACTGAAAAGCCTAAAGAAAGGGGTAAAAGGAAGAGAGTACGAGAGCTGTAAAAATATAAGGAGTAAAGAAAAGTGCTAAAAAAGAGATGAACGCTTGAAAGTAAGAGAGGAGAAGGAGGAGACTTTGAAAGAGGTGTAAAAAATAAACAAAGGAAAAGAAAAGTGATAAAAGCGAGGGGGGAAATTGATAAAGAAGAAAGTGAAGGAGGAGAAGGGCTTATGAGAGGTGTAAACAGGTGGACTGTGTGGTGACCCATTCAACAAGTGCAGCATGTCTCTTGATTGAGGACGATGATGACTGATGATAATTTGATGAAGCTTTCAATATGGTATTAACATTCCTACAACATATATGTAATTGCTCTGCTTTCATTTTGTATTTGTACGTAATAATTTAGGTTTTCAATGGTAAAATGTGTTGGTCAGGAACAGAACCCATGGCTATTACATCGTGTCTATGGGAAATTAGCTTTCACTTTATGAACTAGGCCTCGGAACCAATTAGTTCGTGAAGTCGGGAACTACCTGAATACAGAAGGAATCACTACGTGTAAAGAAAAACGAAGCCAAACAAGGCATTTATTGTTTTATCTATATCACACTATTTTGTGCATGCTTTTCTCTTAGATATTCACTATTTTATCAGGTTGTATTTTGTATTTTATATTGCTTATTTACCTATTTCACAGAACTTTCCTTTTTTTTTTATATATTTATCACTTGTGTGTAGATATATAATCGGTTTTTCTAATTTTGATTTAACTATTTATGGAGAGCTTACATTTGTATCCTTATAATAATAATTTTGTTTTAAAAAAAGTAGATTTTTTATAAAGCTTTAATTCAGAATCCTTACTTTCTTAATCAATACAGAAAGAAAAAATTATAGTGAACTGGTCATTTGTACACCTTTTAGTGGTCACTGTGTCTGTACATGAAGATGCTGCTATCCCAAGTACAAGTTTGCATGGCCATAAGACACACGTTTCTGAAATACCTATTGCACGTGTTCTGAAAATAAAATAACAAGTTAGAGTACTGCAAGGATAACAGCCCAGGGCAACATATTTTGGGATATGTAAGCATTTGTTTATTAATTGAGGAGCTTAGTGATTGGCAAAGTACAAAGAGAGTGGAAGATGTGACGGACGGGAGAGCATGCGAATATTCTCAGGATTTTTACTAAGCTTGAAATTATGGGTAAACTAACAAAATGTTATATTTTTTTTTCAAAAAAAAATTAAAAAATATGTCTTTAGAAATCAGATTTTAGGCCTAAGATGTACAATTTACTATTCATTTCCCAAATGTATCTTTATCAAATAGCCTTCATACCCTACATCTACACAGGAACTGCCACTTCCTCACTTATTTTTTTTAATATTTAGTAGTGTGTTTGGGCCAACTACTATGCATACATGTTTTGTGGTTGTGTTTAGATGATTTGTGTCATGATTTAAATGAATTAAACTGTAATTTTTATTGTGTGCCGTTGGGGGTATCTATCGGTTTACCAATGGTCATTTTTATTTTTTTTCAAAAGGTTCTTTGAATCTGAATTCTTATTTTTCCACCGGCCAGAAATTGCTGAATTTTCGGAGTTGTCAATTTATGTAACGGTGAGGCTTAGAGAATCAACATCCGAACTGTATTTTTCAATATGTCTTATTTGAAATCTCATTTTCTATTCCAATAATCATATTTGCCACAGTTTTATTTAATGCAACTGATGTTATGTTTCGCGTGCATTTATATATTTCTTTGTATCTCTCTCCCTGCAGTAATATTTACTGCAGCCGTAGCTTTTCGATATTACCATTTCTATAGATCGATCATTCTGTCAGTCTTTATTTCTCAAAGTAGCTTCATCACTGTGTGATATTGTCATGTCAACAATCGTATGGTCCACTGCGCTCTTATAATAACTGTTAGGCATTATGGAAAGTGTTAGTGTGTGAAGAAACCAAGCTTAATATTTTTACTTTTCGGCTGATTACATGCTCTCTTTGTAAATGAACATGTAGTGTGCTCCCCCCACCCCCAGGAGTATAAGATATACATTTTCACTGTAATAGATCATCCCTTTTTAAAACATTGTCTGTTGAACCACTCAATTTGTTTTTTCCTTGTAGTTAAATAAAATAAGGTATTTTCGGTCTTTCAATCCATTTTACAACATTATAATTAATAGAATTATATTGCCTAGTTTGAATAATCTTCTTTTTAGTTTTTTTTGTATTATTTACATTTAATTTGAAGCCTTTTTTTATTGATACAATTAAGGCAAAATATGCATAAAGATAGACAGACACTGCAAATAAATTAGGCCATATCCCAAAAGCGAACTAAAAGTTATCTAAGAGTTGTTGTATATTTTGTTTTCTAAAGCAGTGTTCTGTTTTGTTTTGTTTTTAACTTAAGTAAATATATCATGGCACGGCCTGAAATTTGATAAAATTCACTTGAATCTCTTAGTAACATGCCTGCATACAGGTATGCACATACATGCCATCACAGGAGACTGCACACATATGGTATCTTGTAAAGTACGTATCTGAATTCAAATCACCTTGATTGCTATATGTGCTTTATACTAGCCCTCACTACACAACTCGTTTAACAGTGAGGTGACTGACAGTGAAAAAAGTCGGCCACTCTGAGTTCCTCTTCGACAATTGTACTTTTTGTGAGATGATGGTCACTGATGATCAAGTTGGTCATCGCCTGTGACCGCCGAGACTTTAGATTATTTACAAATATATATGTGGACTAAGATGTCTGTCACCAATAATTAAACCAAAAAACCTAAATTGTATTTTTTTTATTATTATTTTTTTTTTTAAATTACAAAAAAGATTTTAAAGATTTTAAACTAGCCTTGCACTTTCAAAAATTTAATCAATTATACACAAAATATTATTAAGACTCCTAATTACTTGTTTATTAATTCCTGCAATGAGCCTCAAAGCATATTACGTTTCCAATTTTTTTCCTTAAACAGGTATAAATATAAAAATACTAATCGACAGTGTGATATACAGTGGGACATCCACCATCATGCACTGTTTCAAATTATCATATCTGACTGCATTCGATTCCTTTTGCTCTTACATTCACCTGCATCACATTAGACAAGGTAATAATTTATGATAATCATATGAAAATATACAATTAATATTCATCACCTCTCATTCCTCATCACTTTAGATGATCAGTAATGCAGAGTGAAAACGCTGTCAGATTTCTAATTGCTTTGTAATGGGCCTGAAACAAGAAAATCATTAAAGACAAACAATCTGTCACTTGTCTGTTACTTTAACTATCTATCACTAAGAAAACTAATTAAAGAAATTGCTAATAAGCTACAAAAGACTGTTCTGAAAGGTGATTCTGTAGCACACTTTTAAAGGCATGTTCAGAATGGCACAGATTGTTCCTAAAAAGAGCATTTAGGAAAGGAATTATTTAAAACATCTCGAGTGTAAAATTTGTGAAATTCTGATGCATCACGTAGAAGATGCTCTTACAAAAAAAAAAACAACACATCAAAAAAAAAGTCAATATATTAGAGATTTCTAAAATAAATTAAATGCTCGCACAGGATCCATTGTATCCAAGTAGTATTGGAGCTGTCAAAAAAATATACATAATTTAAGAGACGCATGAATCAAAATATGTAGATTCTTGTCGATCCTTCCAGGGTACTAAACTGTGTTTTTTGGGAGACATGCCAAAGGTCGCCGACTCTGCCCTTCTATCAAAAAAACCTTCCATGCTGTTGGCACAGGGAACACCAGGTGATAGATATGTTACTAGCGCACATTGTACATGCACATTAAGGAAATCATGTGTACACTTGCTGCAAGTTCACTAACTGATGATGTCACAGGAAGCAGGGAGGTACATGGCCTGCCTGGTGAACAGATTGTGATGTAAATCACTCAAGCCAGGGGTAGAAATGGAGGGGATAACAAATATGTTCGTTCCCAACACATAAAATCACTCTATCAGGTTTTTCTTTATTTTCCATAACACAATTATTCTATAGTTGCAAGAAAAAGTATGTGAACCCTTTGGAATGATATGGAATTCTGCACAAATTGGTCATAAAATGTGATCTGATCATCATCTAAGTCACAACAATAGACAATTTAAGTCTGCTTAAACTAATAACACACAAAATTGGCAGCAATAACTTCAACCAAACGTTTCCTGTAGTTGCAGATCAGACATGCACAACGGTCAGGAGTAATTCTTGACCATTCCTCTTTACAGAACTGTTTCAGTTCAGCAATATTCTTGGGATGTCTGGTGTGAATCGCTTTCTTGAGGTCATGCCACAGCATCTCAATCGGGTTGAGGTCAGGACTCTGACTGGGCCACTTCAGAAGGCGTATTTTCTTCTGTTTAAGCCATTCTGTTGTTGATTTACTTCTATGCTTTGGGTCATTGTCCTGTTGCAACACCCATCTTCTGTTGAGCTTCAGCTGGTAGACAGATGGCCTTAAGTTCTCCTGCAAAATGTCTTGATAAACTTGGGAATTAATTTTTCCTTCGATGATAGCAATCCGTCCAGGCCCTGACGCAGCAAAGCAGCCCCAAACCATGATGCCCCCACCACCATACTTCACAGTTGGGATGAGGTTTTGATGTTGGTGTGCTGTGCCTTTTTTTCGCCACACAGTGTTGTGTGTTTCTTCCAAACAACTCAACTTTGGTTTCATCTGTCCACAGAATATTTTGTCAGTACTGCTGTGGAACATCCAGGTGCTCTTGTGCAAACTGTAAACGTGCAGCAATGTTTTGTTTGGACCGCAGTGGCTTCCTCTGTGGTATCCTCCCATGAAATCCATTCTTGTTTAGTGTTTTACGTATTGTAGATTAGCTAACAGGGATGTTAGCATTTGCCAGTGACTTTTGTAAGTCTTAAGCTGACACTCTAGGATTCTTCTTCACCTCATTGAGCAGTCTGCGCTGTGCTCTTGCAGTCATCTTTACAGGACGGCCACTCCTAGGGAGAGCAGCAGCAGTGCTGCATGTTCTCCATTTATAGACATTGTCTTACCGTGGACTGATGAACAGCAAGGCTTTTGGAGATACTTTTATAACCCTTTCCAACTTTATGCAAGTCAACAATTCTTAATCGTAGGTCTTCTGAGAGCTCTTTTGTGCGAGGCATCATTCACATCAGGCAGTGCTTCTTGTGAAAAGCAAACCCAGAACTGGTGTGTGTTTTTTATAGGGCAGGGCAGCTGTGACCAACACCTCCAATCTCATCTCATTGATTGAACTCCAGTTGGCTGACATCTCACTCCAATTAGCTCTTGAAGATGTCATTAGTCTAGGGGTTCACATACTGTTTCCACCTGCATTGTGAATGTTTACATGGTGTGTTCAATAAAAACATGGCAACATTTCATTCTTTGTGTGTTATTAGTTTAAGCAGACTGTGATTGTCTATTGTTGTGACTTACCTTGTTTCCCCGAAAATAAACCCTACCCCGAAAATAAGCCCTAGTCGGATTTTCGGGGTGGGCTGCAATATAAGCCCTACCCCGAAAATAAGACCTAGGCATTGCACCTTTGCGGCGAGACTTCCTTCTTCTACTGTAGGAGGAGCGTTGCGGGCCGTGGCATTGCGCAACGTGATGACGACATTTCGCAGTGCCGTCAGTCTGCCTTCACGGATCTTCAGCGGAAGGATCCATTTCCGGGCGGTGAGGCACCCAGTGGTCGGACTCGGCAAGGAATCTTTGAAATGTGAGTACCGGTAGATATTTTATGTCTGGGACTGAATTAATTAAAGGGGGTGAATTAATTAAAGGGGGTGAATTAATTAAAGGGTGGGCTGGATTAATTAGAGGGGGGTGAATTAATTAAAGGGGTGGTGAATTAATTAAAGGGTGGGCTGGATTAATTAGAGGGGGTGAATTAATTAAAGGGGTGGTGAATTAATTAAAGGGTGGGCTGGATTAATTAGAGGGGTGAATTAATTAAAGGGGTGGTGAATTAATTAAAGGGTGGGCTGGATTAATTAGAGGGGGTGAATTAAAGGGGGGGTGAATTAATTAAAGGGTGGGCTGGATTAATTAGAGGGGGTGAATTAATTAAAGGGGTGGTGAATTAATTAAAGGGTGGGCTGGATTAATTAGAGGGGGGTGAATTAATTAAAGGGTGGGCTGGATTAATTTGAGGGGGGTGGATTAATTAAAGGGTGGGCTGGATTAATTAGAGGGGGGTGGATTAATTAGAGGGGGTGGATTAATTAGAGGGGGGTGGATTAATTAGAGGGGGTGGATTTATTAAAGGGAGGGGTGGATTAATTAGACAGTATGGTATTTTGATCCCCAGACAAGATGAGTGCAAAGAGAAAGAGCTGTACATACTGGTAACGTAAATAAATAAGCCCTACCCTGAAAATAAGCCCTAGTGTGTTTTTTGTGACTAAAATTAATATAAGACCCGGTCTTATTTTCGGAGAAACACGGTAGATGATGATCAGATCACATTTTATGACCAATTTGTGCAGAAATCCATATCATTCCAAAGGGTTCACATACTTTTTCTTGCAACTGTATATATTATTTTATGTTTTGGGGATGATTTTGCGTTTTTTTTTTTTAGTTTATAGGAACACTCAAGGCACGATAACAACTTCATTAGCTTACCACAGAGGTTAAACCATTCATAAACGAAGACCAGTATTGATCGCCCGATCGTTCAAACCCTTGTCCGTCCATTGCTCAAAATCTTTAAAGAGGAAGGCCTGGCCAGAGGCATTGCTGATTGGCTGAGAGTATCAGCTCCCCAATCAGAAAAAGGTACATATTTTCCTAAGCTTTTTTTTTTTTTTTACCTTAAAAAGGACACTCCACTGCCCATATAAAAATATATATATATATATTTAAAAACAGCTTGCAAAGCCTGCATTTCTCTTATCTGCTGTCTTTGCAAGCCCTCCCCTTCAGACATTCTGTATCTGTCCAATCACAGGCTTCTCAATGCAGCTCAATGAGAAGTCTTTGCAAGGCAGGTGCTCTGAGCAATTGGTGCCTCTTGAGTTTAGTTCCACTGAGTTAAAC